CCAGTAGCTATCTCAGCTGGGACATCACAAAGAAGACGTGGGGGCAACCTGTTCTCCAAAGGACCTGAATGCAGGGCAAGAAGTAACGGGGTGGTAAAAAGAGAAATCCAGCCTAGAAGTACGGAGAAATTTCCTGACGGAACAATTAACCAGGGGAACTCCTTGCCTCCAGAAGTTGTGGGTGCTCCATTACGGGAGGTTTTTAAGAAGAGCCTGGAGAGCCATTTGTCCCAAATGGTATAGGGCAGTGGTTCTCAACCTTTTTAATGCCGCAACCCCCAACCGGTCGTAAGTCAAGGACTACTCAACCGGTCATAAGTCGAGGACTACTCAACTGGTGCAGCACCGTTTGCAGACTGGGACTTTTGGCGGGCTCAGCAGGGCAGAGACAGCCTGGACAATTCCTATTGGCTTTTGAAAGCCAGTAGAATTAGACTCTATTCAAGAGAGTCTATTCTATTGGCTTTCAAAAGGCAATAGAATAAAAGGGAGGAGCACAGCTAAGAAAAGGGGGGGAAAATGGCGGACTGCGTTGTTTGGCGACCCCCGTGAAATGGTCGTTCGACCCCAAATGGGGTCCCGACCCACAGGTTGAGAACCACTGATCTATGGAGCTATTTTGCCCAGGTTTCTTTTCACTTCCTGCCGTTAAACCAAAGTTATCCTTGTTAGAACATAAAATATAGAATATAAAGAATTAGAAGGGGCCTTGGAGTTTTCTAGTCCAACCTCCTGCTCAAGCAGGAGACCCTATATCCATTTCAGACAGGTGGCTATCCGGTCTCTTAAAAACTTCCAGTGTTGGAGCATTCACCGCTTCTGGAGGCAGGTTGTTCCACTGGTTAATTGTTCTCACTGTCAGGAAATTCCTTCTTAGTTCTAGGTTGGACTGCTTTTTGACAAGCTTCCTTCCATTGATTCCTGTCCTGCCCTCAGGTCCTTTGGAACAGGGCTTTTCAACCAGTGGTACGGGTACCACTTGTGGTACATTGGCACCTGGCAGGTGGTACGCAAGCATCCTAGAAAAGTGGTAGTGGGGGAGGCGAATGAGCTGAACCGGTGGCAGCACCGCACAAGCTTGAGCGAGAGATGGCTGGAGCTGCAGGGCTGTCGGGGCTCAGCGGAAGCTCCAGGATCAGTGCTGCTTTCCAGCTGATCGGCGCTTCTTCAGGATTGTCAGGGCTCAGTGGAAGCGCCAGGATCAGTGCCAGGCTCCAGCTGGAGCTCAGCACTGATCCTGGTGCGTCTGCTGAGCCCAGAAGAAGCGCCGATCAGCTGGAATGTTGCAGCCTCTCCAGGGTCTTGTGATTTACATTCAGATGCTTGGCAACTGATTCATATTTATGACGGTCACAGTGTCCCAGGGTCATGTGAAGTGGCCAAAACCTGCTGCAACCACCCAGCAGATGGGGGGGAATAAAAATCAAACACCCCCCACCCCCCACCCCTGCTGCCAATCCTCAACAGAAACGCTCACAACAATGAAAACCTCGGACAGGAGGAAGAGCCCTGCCGGGCGGGCAGGCAAGTGTCTTGCTCGGCACCTTTTTCGGTGCCATTGTAACTTCGAACAGTCATTAAGTGAACTGTTGTAAGTTGAGGACTACCTGTACTTTATCACTTTTTTCCTTTTTTTTTGGTCATCAAGTTTTTGACACCTTGCTAGGCGACTGGTGGTGCTCAAATATTGCCATATCCTAAAAGTGGTAGAATGGGTGAAAAGGTTGAAAAGCCCTGCTTTGGAAAATAGGTTGTCCTCTCTGTTAAAACCCTCTGGAATTCGTAAGAGTCCTTTCGTTTTCCACAAGAAGAAGGTCGCAAAAAGGGACCACATGACCCTGGGACATAGCAATGGTCATAAGTATGAAGCAGTTGTCATGCATCTGAATTTTAATCACGTGATCATGGGAATGTTGCGATGGTCGTAAGTGTGAAAAACAGTCATACATCGGTTTTTGCCGTCCCGTTGTAACGTCGAACGGCCAATAAGTGAACTGTTGTAAGTTGGGGACTACCTGTATTTTGCGATCTGTTTCACTCCTAGAGAATGTGATTGCAGCTTAGAAGGAGAAATAAAGTTTGAAGGCTGATTTTTCAACAATCAGTTTGGTTGGCCAGGTCCAGATCTGTAGCATTTCCTGCCTTTACTTCAAAAAGACACAGCTTCCACGTACAGGTATAGTCCTCGACTTACAACAGTTCATTTAGTGACCGTTCAAAGTTACAACGGCACTGAAAAAAAGTGACTTATGACCAATTTTCAAAGTTACGACCGTTGCAGCATCCCCACGATCACGTGATCAAAATTCAGAAATTGACAACAGACTCATATTTATCTCACTTGCAGCGTCCTGAGATCACGTGATCCCCTTTTGTGACCGTCTGACAAGCAAAGTCAGTGGGGAAGCCTGATTTGCTTAACGACCGTGTTACTAACTTAACAGCTGCAGTGATTCATTTAACAACTGTGGCAAGAAAGGTCGTAAAGTGGAGCAAAATGAACTAAACAAGTGTTTCACTTAGCAACAGAGATTTTGGGCTCAATTGTGGTCGTAAATTGAGGACTACCTGTATTCCTCGGTCCGCCAGTTGTAGGAGGAGGGAATGTGTTCCTGAGTAGAGAAACACAGAGGGTTATCTACCAATAGTAAAATTAGCAATATAGTATATAGATATGATGAACAGCAAACAAACGTGAACACCAGGAAGATTAAAAACTATAAAAGTTTTAATTAGATAAAATAAAAACTTTTATAGTTTTTAACCTTCCTGGTGTTCACGTTTGTTTGCTGTTCATCATGAATATACCCAGGAATCATTCTTTTATTTTTAGCATTGTTTTTGATAAGTATATAGATATGTATATTTCTCAGCTGTTCTGGAAAAGTAAAGCAGATCTGTTTTATACAATCCATGAATCCTGGCATAGCATTGCTCCATCTGTCGTCCCTTCGTGCCACTAAGGGCTGACTTGCCGCTGAATCAGATTCTGTGGTTCGCTTGGTTGCCTGTCACACACCCAAAAAATCACTGAATTAACGAGGGTTTGGAACTGGCTCTGCTGGGGATGGCAGATTTACGCACAAATGTGGCACTGCCGTGTGTCTCCCAGGAAAACGGATGTGGCCGTGTTGATGTGGAAAGTAACCCCGCTAGCAGGCGGCACCTCCCACTAAGTAAACCCAGCCAGGATTGCACAACTTGGTTAGCAACCAGTTCTCCCAGGACAGGTAATCCTCGACTTACGAACACAGCTGAGCCCAACATTTATCTCATTAAGTGAGAAATTTCTTAAGTGAGTTTTGTCCCGTTTCACGACTTTCCTTGCCACGTTTGTTAAGTGAATCACTGCAGCTGTTAAATTAGTAACCCGGTTGTTAAGTGAATCCGGCTCCCCCGTTGACTTTGCTTGTCGGAAGATCACAAAAGGGGATCACGTGATCCCGGGACGCTGCAACCGTTGATAAATATGAGTCGGTTGCCAAGCTTCTCAATTTGATCACGTGGCCATGGGGGATGCTGCAAGCGTGGAAAATGGTCGTGAGTCACTTTTTTCAGGGCCGCTGTAACTTCGAACGGTCGCTAAATGAACCGTTGTAAGTCGAGGACTACCTGTATATGGAACTGCAGGCCACCCGTTCCTATTTGAGCCCGCTTGTGCAACCCCCTCCCCCAAATGGTTTGTTTCTGATATCTCTTGTGGAAACATGATTTGAATTATTGTAGGCTTCCATTGAGGGGCGAAAAATCCTTGGGGCCAACCTTGCCCTCTGAACAACGGGGCTAGTTTCCAAGGATGCTATTGGCATCGGACCTCAGCCCATTTCCCCTCCTTGACCACCGAGGCAGCGGCATGGACTAAGCTGAAACCAGGGCTGGCAAGAATGCCAGCTTTGCAGGGAGTTATTCTTGTTTATCTTCTGAATTTCTGGGCTGACCAAGGAATTTGCTCCACAGGAAGTGTAAACTGTGGTTTTGCGTCTGTTAATCTACTGTCTCTGCCTGCTGGAATGAGATCATGGCTGTTTTTCAGGCTCGGCGTAAACAATTGTATTTTTTTTTTTTATTTCTATGATGTAACGTGGACGCATTAGAAGAGCTGAATAGATAAATCAGGACCAAAACTCACTAATGATGATTACGGTTGCAGATTATTTTATTCATTATAAGAAGGTGGAGGATATTCTGTGAATCCACTCGTCAAATGTTGGCTTGTTTAACCACAATTTATTCACTAAGCCTGTTAAGTTGGGGCTAACACAGCTTGTCTGCATAAATCCTTGAGGGTCGATTTTGCATACACGGAGTCCTCAACGTATGACCACAATTGAGCCCAAAATTTCTGTCATTAAGTGAGACCCTGGTTAAGTGAGTTTTGCCCTATTTTACGGCTTTTCTTGATACCGTTGTTAAGTGAATCTGGCTGCCTTTGTTAAGTTAGGAGCACGGTTGTTAAGTGAATCTGGCTTCTCGATGGAGATTGTGAGAGCTTCGAAATAGAAGCTTATTAATAGAAATATTTCTACTATTATTTCTATTTCTATTATTTCTATTTCTATTATTTCCATTTCCATTTCTATTTCTATTTCTACTATTTCTATTTTTATTTCTATTATTTTTATTTCTATTATTTCTATTTCTATTATTTCCATTTCCATTTCTATTATTTCTATTTTTATTTCTATTATTTCTATTTCTATTATTTCTATTTCTGTTTCTATTATTTCCATTTCCATTTCTATTTCTATTTTTATTTCTATTATTTTTATTTCTATTATTTTTATTTCTATTATTTCTATTTCTATTTCTATTATTTCCATTTCCATTTCCATTTCCATTTCTATTATTTCTATTTCTATTCTCGCTCCGTCCGCCTGGGCGCGCGGCTGGCACTTTGGCGCCGCTCCCTAAGCGCCGGCCTGCGGTTCCCTACGGCGCTTCCGAGGCCCCGCCCTCTCCTCCCCCGCCCGTCGCGGGGGCGTGGCCATCCCGCCGTCGCTATTGTCTGGCGGGCGGCGGGCGGGCGGGCGTCGCGCGCCTCCTCGGCGGGGCAGAGTTTCTCCCCGGCCCCTGGCGAGGGGCGACGATGCCTCAAGATGGCGGAGGCGGCTGAGCTGAAGGTAGGCGGGGGGGGGGGAAACGAGAGGGGCGGGACTACAAGGCCTATCATCCTCGGGGAGCTGGGGTTGGGGAGGGAGGGAAGGAGGGAAATGAGTCGGGGGGTGAGGAGAGGGGAAACGGGGGGGGGGAAGGAACCGGTGGTCCCATCCCTGCCCGGGAGGGGCAGCGGGGGGGGGCTGATGAGGGATGGGAGGAGAGTCTTTGGGGAGGGGGCTGCGAGGGTCCCGGGAGGTGCAGGATTGGGGGGGCGGTGTTGGGGGAGGGGATTCCAATGATGTTGGGGCTGTGGGGGGGGGCTCTGGGGCTGAATGGAGGGGGCGGGGGCGAAGGGGGCGCAAGAGGGGGCGTTATATGGGGATGGGTGGGTGGGTGAGTTGTTGCGGGTGTGTGTGTGTGTGTGTGTGTGTGTGTGTGATCTGGGCAGGGGCAGAGCTGGGGGTGCGAGAGGGGCCGACAGAGACCCCCCCCCACTCAAGGGTCCGACTCCAGAAGACCTCCCCCACTCAAGGGCCGACCCCAGGAGACCCCCCCACTTAAGGGTCCGACCCCAGAAGACACCCCCCCACTCAAGGGTCCGACCCAGGAGACTCCCACTCAAGGGTCCGACCCCAGGAGACCCCCTCACTCAAGAGTCTGATCCCAGGAGACACCCCCCCACTCAAGGGTCCGACCCCAGGAGACACCCCCCCACTCAAGGGTCCGACCCCAGGAGACCCCCCAATTAATCCACAGGAGACACCCCCCCCCCCACGACCCCCAAGGGTCCGACCCCAGGAGACCCCCCCCAAATCAAGGGTCCGACCCCAGGAGACCCCCCCACTCAAGGGTCCGACCCAAGGAGAACCCTCCACTCAAGGGTCAGACCACCAGGAGACCCCACCCCACTCAAGGGTCCGACCCCAGGAGCCCCCACTCAAGGGTCCGACCCCAGGAGACCCCCCCACTCAAGGGTCCAAGGAGACCCCCACTCCGACCCCAGGAGACCCCCCCACTCAAGGGTCCGACCCCAGGAGACACCCCCCACTCAAGACCCCAGACACCCCCCACTCAAGGGTCCGACCCCAGGAGACCCCCCCACTCAAGGGTCCGACCCCAGGAGACCCCTCCACTCAAGGGTCCGACCTCAGGAGACACCCCCCACTCAAGGGTCCGACCCCAGGAGACCCCCCCACTCAAGGGTCCGACCCCAGGAGTTGAGGGGCTGAAGCGGGTCTGGGGTGCCAGGGATCTGTGCCTTGATGGGATAACCGAATAACAGAGCTGGAAGGGGTCTTGGAGGTCATCTAGTCCAACCCCCTGCTCAAGCAAGAGACCCCATACCGTTTCAGACAGGTGGCTGTCCAGTCTCCTCTTTTTAGCCTCCGCCAGTGATGGAGCATCACAACTTCTGGATGTTCCACTGGTTGAGTGTCCTCACTGTCAGGAAGTTTCTCCTTAATTCCAGGTTGCTTCTCTCCTTGTTTCCATCCGTTGCTTCTTGTCCTGCCTTCAGGTGCTTTGGAGAAGAGGCTGAACCCCCCCCCTCCTCTTTGGGGCAGCCCCTCAAAATACTGGAACTCTGCTATCATGTCACCCCTATAGTCCTTCTCCTTGTTAGATTAGCCAAGCCCAATCCCTGCAACCGTTCTTCATAGGTTTTTGTCTCCAGGTCCTTAATCATCTCAGTTGCCCTTTCCAGAGCCTCAACGTCTTTTTTTACATTGTGGTGACCAAAACTGGATGCAGGATTCCAGGTGTGGCCTTAGCAAAGTGGTATAAACACTTCATGTGATCTTGATTCTGTCCCTTTGTTAATGCGCTCTAGGATTGCATTGGCTTTTTTGGCAGCTGCCGCACATGGCTGGCTCATATTTAAGTGATTGTCTACTAGGACTCCGAGGTCCCTCTCAGTTCCTGCAACTAAGCCACACACCTAATCAATATGTGTCCTCTTGGTTTTTCTTGTCTAGACTTCTTTTTTCTCTATGTTGAATTTCATTTTGTTAAATAGGGCCCAGGACCCTAGGATGCTGCAGCCATCGTCAATACTTGCCAAGCATCCAAAGTTGATCATGCGACTCTGGGGATGGTGCAGCCATCATCACTGAAAATTGGCTATAAATCACTTTTTTCATTGCAGTTGTAACAACTGTTTACCACAAACAGTTGTCGGTCGAGAACAACCTGCACAGGTAGCCCTCAACTTAAGAGCACAAGTGAGCCCCAAATTTTTGTAATTGAGACATTTGTTAGGTGGGTTTTGTCCCATTTTACGACCTTCCTTGCCTCGGTTGTTAAGTGAATCGCTGCAGTTGTTAGGTTAGTAACATGGTTGTTAGGTGGATCTGGCTTCCCCACCGATTTTGCTTGTCAGAAGGTCTCGGGATCACTGGAACCGTCATAAATATGAACCCGTTGAGAAGCGTCTGAATTTTGATCTGCAGACAGGAGGTGCTGCAAAAGTGGTAACTGAAAAACCACCATAAGCCACTGTTTTCAGTGCTGATGGAACGGAACGGTCGCTAAATGCACTGTTGTAAGTCGAGGACTGCCTGTACTCCGTCCAGCTCTGGTTCCCACCATACAAAAAAAAAAAAGATGCTGAGGTCCTGGAAAGAGGGCAGAGAAGAGCAACCAAGATAATTAGGGGTGGGAGGCTGAATTGTATGATCAACGAAAGGCAGACATGTCCAACTCACGACATCGCGTGACATATCGGAGCTTTTTCCCCATTGCCGGCAATGGGGTGGGCGCGGTTTCTTCGTGACGCATCTGCCCGCGGGCTAGCAATTTGACACCCCTGATGTAAGGAAACTAATTTTGTCTAATAGTTGAAGAAAAGGATTGGGGGGACATGATTGGAGTCTTCCAATAGTGTCCCCAAATTTGGGCACCAGGGACCAGTTCCGTGGAGAAAGTTTTTCCACAAACCAGAGAGTGCATAATTTTGTGTGCTGTCTGCATCCCACGGATGGGGCTTTGCTTGTTTGTGCGGACCGGTTGCTGGCATGCTGCGGACCGGTACCAGTCCACAGACCGGGGGGTTGGGGACCCCTGCTCTAGAGCAGTGGTTCTTAACCTGGGCAATATTGCCCCCCAGGGGGCGGATTTCATGTTTCATGGGGGCGATGGAAGAAAAAGGGGCGACGCGGGGGCGAAGAAACAAAAAGGGGGCGATATGGGGGCGATGGAGCGAGAAGTTTTGGGGACACTTTTGAGACTTTTTCGTACAGCGAATCGCTGCATATCTGTCGTACGAAAACATCCCATCGCTCGCTCTTAGTGGATTGAATTGTGTTTTCAAATGTTCCTCCAGCTAGCTTCAGTACAGAACGCCGTACATATGTGAAGACGCATCTTCATGCGCGTCGCGCAGCAGCCTCGACCCATACAGTGGTGCGTTATTGGCCAGAATATGGGAGATATGGGGAAAAGACTGGAAATAAACTATTTGCATCGATATGTCCTGAGGACAGTTTTAAAGAAAACAAAAAAAGCGTTTGCATAAATTGAAGAATTATTTCCTATGTTGTGATTGAGAGGTTGTGTTGGGGGAGAGGGGGGGCGATGACAACTTCCTCATTGGCTCAAGGGGGCGATTCGTTCAAAAAGGTTAAGAACCCCTGCACTAGAGCACCAGAGAGCAGGACGAGAAGCAACGGGTGGAAAGTTAGCAAAGAGCGATCCAAACATAGAAAATAAGGAGAAATTTCCTGACAGAGCAGTTAATCACGAAGTTGTCATTTGTCTGACATGGTCTGACATTGGTAAAGGGTCTCCTGCTTGAGCAGAGGGTTGGATTAGATGACCTCCAAGGTCCCTTTCCAGTACCGTTAGAGAACGATCCAATCTAGAACTAAGTAGAAATTGCCTGACGTTGAGAACCGTCAGCGAGGGGAATCGCTTGCCCCCAGATTTGTGAGCTGGAGGTTTTCAAGATGGAATTGGAGGGGCATTTGTCCCAGCTGGAATAAGGTCTGCCTTTGGCAGGGGTTGGACTAGACGACCTCCAAGGTCCCTTCCAGTTTTTTGGTTCTATGAAATACCTGTGATTTTGGTGATGTTCCACTAGCTCAGTGGTTCTCAACCTTTTTAATGCCGCGACCTCCCAACTGGTCGTAAGTCGAGGACTACTCAACCGGTCATAAGTCGAGGACTACTCAACGGGTGCAGCACCGTTTGCGGACTGGGACTTTTGGCCGGCTCAGAAGGGCAGAGACAGCCTGGACAATTCCTATTGGCTTTGGAAAGCCAATAGAATGAGACTCTATTCAAGAGAGTCTATTCTATTGGCTTTCAAAAGCCAATAGAATCAAAGGGAGGAGCCCAACTAAGGAAAAGGGGGGAAAAAATGGCGGACTGCGTTGTTTGGCGACCCCCGTGAAATGGTCGTTCGACCCCAAAGGGGGTCCCGACCCACAGGTTGAGAACCACTGCACTAGCTCCACTAACATTTCTTTTAATGTTATAAAAGTACATTATTCTTCCCATGATTTAATGTTGGAGTCCAATCAGCATCGCTTGAAAGACGCTGTAAGCACCGCGTGGCTCATCCCTTCTCTACACCCACGGCCACGTATTGGGTGTTTCAATTGTTTTGCTTGATTTTGGCACAAAATACGGATGGAGGAAAGCTCCGGCGCAAGATTATCTCTGAATTGACTTTGAGTCCTCCAGTTACGACCACAATGGAGCCCGACATTTGTGTCGCTAAGTGAAACATTTGTTAAGTGAGTTCGGCCCCATTTTACGACTTCCCTTGCCACCTTTGTTAAGCAAATCCCTGCAGTTGTTCAATTAGTCACAGGGTTGTTAAGTGAATCTGGGTTCCCCGTTGACTCAATGTCGCAAAAGGGGGTAAAGTGACCCCCGGGGACACTGCCACCGCCATATAAATATGAGCCCAGTTGTCAAACATCCAAGTTAAAAATCACATGACCGTGGGGATGCTGCAATGGTTATGAGTGCGAAAAACGATTACGAGGTCCCTTTTTTCCAGTGCCGTTGTAATTTTGAACGGCCGCTAAACGAACCGATGTAAGTTGAGGACCCCCTGTGCCTAAAAGGAGACGTCGAAGCTTCGCGCTGTTTCGGGGGGGGGGGAGTAAATTCAACTGGGCAGGGCCGATCCTGCTTGTCTGAGCAGCCTTGCAATGCGGTGGAAAGGAAACGCGGCCGAGCTTCCGACATGCCAGGAAGACGGTGGCTGTGCGCAGGCTCTCATATGTGGCGTTTGGTTGCCCACCCCCTCTTAAAGGAGGGAATTTTCCAGGCTGGGTCCCCTGCCAGCCCCCCCCCCTTTTGCAAATAAGCCCTTGGTGAAGAGCTCCAGAGGGTCCTTTGGCACACATGGCGGGGCTGCGGGAATCCTGTTTTTCCAAGACTGGGTGGGTGGGTGGGTGGGCTCGGCTTCTCCGTTTTTTTCTCTACTCTTTTCTCTCTTTGAAATTGGAAGGCTTCTTCCCAGCAGGCAGATTCATCCCTGCTGGCCCCCTTCCTGTGTATGTGTGTGTGTGTGTGTATGTGTGTTGTTTGTTCCGTATTTCATTGGCAGGGGAGGTTTGCTCTAGCTGCCTATTGGGAGGACCACGAAGGGAGGGGGGTGTGTGTGTGTATGGGAGATTGGGCTTTAGAAACAAATAGAGAAATTAGTTAGCACAGATTTGACATTTTTTTCGCCTCTCCTGGGGGGGCTTAGAGACGTAGAGAACGGCCCTGGAGAATGTGGTACCGGTAGTCCTCAACTTAACGACCACAGTTGAGGCCCCAATTTTGGTTGCTAAGTGAGACAGTTGCTACGTTGCTATGAATTTTGCCCTCTTTTAGGACCGTCCTTGGTTGTTACTTTGAACATCACTAAATCAATGGTTCTCCACCTGTGGGTCGGGACCCCGTTTGGGGTCGAACGACCATTTCACGGGGGTCGCCAAACAAGGCTGTCCGCCATTTTTTCCCCCTTTTCTTTGGCCACGCCCCTGGCCCCCGGTGATGTATAAGTGGTTGGGGGTCACCACAACATGGGGAACTGTATTATGGGGTCGCGGCATTAGAAAGGTTGAGAACCACTGCACTAAATGAACGGTTGTAAGTCGAGGCCCTCAGATTAAGAGTAATGATGGGTCACCTGTACCAGGATGGCTTATTCAGCAAGCCACGATGAAAACGTTGCCTTGCAATTACATGGCAGAACAGTAGGAGAGGACATTTGTCACTCAGGGCTGAACTGTGTGTTGTTGTTGTTGTTGCTGTCTGAGCTGGGTGGTTTGTTTGCAGACGTTTCATGACCCAACTAGCTAACATCATCAGTGCTACAACGGACTGGGCTTTACTCTCTGTTTATGTACAGTGGCTTGCCCTGTCATTGTTGTTAGGTGTTAAACAGCACCTTCCAGCACTGACGATGTTACCTAGTTGGGTCAAGAAATGTCTGCAAGAGAAATGGATAGACTAACATTAGAAATGAAAGAAAAAGATGATTCAGTTTATTTTAGAACTTGGGAAAAATGTTATCAATGGTTAGAGACATGTTAGAACTTGAAGGATTTAATAGAATAGATGCCTGATTTTTAATCGAGTTCTAACTAACATTTTGATGATACGATTACTTTTCCTGATTTACTGATTTTCATTTGTTACTTTTGATTGTTAGGATTATTTTTTTATTTTTAGACTTTATTAGTTGTGTTTACTTAATAGATCAACGTATTTGTTTACTAATTGTTTTTAATATGTTACAGTTTAAGCTTTGTTAAAAATGGTTGAATATGATATTTACTCACTATTATGATCCGGACGGTTGCTTGTTTGTTGAAATATGTGATTGTACCTATCCTTATTTTACCCCAATTCCTTATTTCCTTCCCTTCCCCCTTTCCTTTTACCCTTCCCTTTACCATACCTGTAAATTGTTCCTATTTTTCCTTACCTATATAAATTTAATAAAATTTTGTTAAAAAAAAAAAAAGAAATGTCTGCAAGAGAACAACCAAGCTCCAAAAGCCCCAAGGACTCCACACGATTATATACCAATACAGTTAATCCTCGACTTAACGACCACAATTAAGTGAATTTGGCTTCCCCCTTGACTTCGCTTGTCGGAAGGTCGCAAAAGGGGATCACTTCATTTCTGCAGCCGTCATAAATACAAACCATGGTGATGCTGCAATTGTCCTAAGTGTGAGAAACGGTCCTGGGTCACTTTTTTTCAGTGCCGTTTTAACTATGAACGGTCACTAAATGAACGTTGTAAGTCGAGGACTAGGTGTTTCTCGATGGGTCAGAACGGGCTGGAGCTCCCTATAATTCCATTTTATTTTTATCTCTTTTTCAAAAAAATATATAATTTGGATTATAGTGAAAGATCAATCGCAAGAGAAGTATCTCTTGGTGTGGAAAAGATGGATAAATTTTATACAATATAGGTATGATATTAGAAAATATTCCTTAGCTTTCGAATAACTTATATTTAAAGTTAAGATATTATTTAGAAGTGTAGAATAGTTTTGTTTTTTTTTCTCATTATTTTTCTTATTCTCTTTCTTTTCTTCTTTTTCTCTTTCTGTTTTTTATATATAATGGAGTTAAAGTACTTAATAATGTGTCTATTGAATGTAATTATATTTGTTTGAGGTTTATTTGAGTTTAAAAGTTTTTTCTTTTAAGTTTTAGTTAACCTTGTATTCAGCTCTGGGAAGAATAGGGGAGGGTTTTGGGGAGGGATTGGGAAAGGGGTTTTTATTGTAAAATTGTAAAAATTTATAATATATATATATATATATATGTATATGTGTGTGTATGTATGTATGTATGTATGTATGTATGTATGTATGTGTGTGTGTATATATATATATATATATATATATATATATATATATATATATATATATATATATATATATATATATAATTTTATTGTGTTCTCCGCAGTTTAATTTTTTCATTTTCTGTCCACGCTTGTCTTCCAGCACATGGTTATGAGCTTTCGGGTCTCGGAGCTGCAGGTGCTTCTGGGCTTCGCCGGGCGCAACAAGAGCGGGCGCAAGCACGAGCTGCTCACCAAGGCGCTGCAGCTGCTGAAGTCGGGCTGCAGCTCCGCCGTCCAGATAAAAATCAAGGAGTTGTACCGGAGGCGTTTCCCCCGCAAGATCCTCACCCCTTCGGACTTATCCATGCTCCACCTCCAGGCCGGGCCGCTGCCCTCGGCCACGGCTTTGACCCAGGGCGCCATGTGCCACCTGCCTTACGACAACGGAGCGGTAGGCTCCAGTATGCCAGCCGGCATGCTGCCTCCCGTGCCGATGCTGGGCTCCAAACACGAGGCTGACGTGCCTCACCTGTCGCCCCCCGTCCACCCCGTCCATCCGGACGTGAAGATGCGACGCCTGGCCTTCTACGACGTGTACGACGAACTCATCAAGCCCACCACCCTGGGTGAGTGCTCGGCCTGGGGCCGGCTGGAGCCGGCTTAGCGTTTCCTGGTGGGGTTCTGGGGGCCACAAGGGGTGGGGGCATCACAATAGAATTTGAGGAATGGTCTTTTTTTTTAAAAAAAAAAAATTTAATCCCATCTTTATTATTTTTATCGATAACTCAAGGCAGCAAACTCCTAATACAGGGATTCCTCAACTTACAACAGTTCATTTAGCGACCGTCCAAAGTTACAACGGCACTGAAAAAAGTGACTTTAGGGCCGTTTCTCACACTTAACGACCGTTGCAGCATCCCCAGGGTCACGTGATCCAAATTTAGATGCTTGCCAACTGGCTCATATTTATGACGGTTTGCAGTGTCCCCTTTCTGGCAAGCAACATCAATGGGGGGGACCTGGACTCACTCAACAGCCGAGTTCCTAACTTAATGGCTGCAGTGCTTCACTTAACAACCAGGGCAAGGAAGGTCGTAAAAATGGGGCCACCCTCACTTAACAAACGTTTCACCTCGCAACGAAAATTCGGGGCGCAGTCGTCGTCGTACGTTGAGGACTGTCACAACTATCCCCTGAGATGGTTGGACTGGCCCAGGGTCAGCCGGCTGGCTTTTGTGGCTAAGGCGGGACTAGAACTCGCAGCCTCCTGCTGATTGGCCCAAAGTCACCTGGCCGGCTTCCACGCCCACGGCAGGACTAGAACTCGCAGCCTCCTGCTGATTGGCCCAAAGTCACCTGGCCGGCTTCCACGCCCAAGGCAGGACTAGAACTCGCAGTCTCCTGGTGTCTAAGCCAGCACTTTCACCGCTACGGTCTCTCTTTCTCTTGTTGCTCAATGTGCCTGTTTTTAAAGTTTATTTCCCAGTTTTCCTTTGCTTCCCATCTCAGGATGGGGGGGGGAGGTCGTTTGTTTTTGGCAGGCCTGGCCAGCGGGCAGCTCAGAGAAGGACTGGAATGCCGTGGTCCGGAGGCGTTGGTGCCTTCCAGACGCAAGCAAGCAGGAAAAGTAGAAGCCAGGAAAAAAGTCTCCCGTCAGAAGGTGGCCATCTCCCATTGCCCAATGTTATCCCTCTCATGACTGGGAATTCAGTTATTGGCAGGTATTTATTTATGAGACTTATATACCGCTTTAAGTGCAAGCACTCTCTAAGCGGTGTACACCAGTAAGCAATGTATATATATATATTTACGTTGCCCCCAACCATCTGGATCCTCATTTGACCTACCCCGGAAGGATGGAAGGCTGAGTCAACCTTGAGCCGGTGAGATTTGAACCGCTGACCTGCTGAACGCAGTCAGCTAAAGTGGCCTGCAGTACAGGTATGGGCCGCCTTTCTTCGCTTTTGCAGGCTATGACGCATTTCGATGGCCGGGGAGAGGCACTTCCGTGCAGAGAGGAACCCACTTCCAATTTGAGCAATTTACAGAGGGCCTTGGAGAAATGCATAGGCTGCAGGATCCAATCTGGGTTGGTCATTGCAAGCTTCCCAGCTTCCGGACGTGTTCTGGAGCCCACCACCGGGGAACTTCTCTCTAGCCTACATACATGATGGGCTCCTCCTGCGACACACTTACTCGCTTTCATTTGTGAACTTCGTAGGCTCTTTCCTGCCAACCCCACATCTGTCTTGTCAGATTTATCCCCTGCCTTACGACGTCGTCCAAGAATTAGGGGTTTTTCTTATGGCTCACAGTCACTCTTAACTGAGGATGGAGATCCCGCTTTGCTTTCTCCAGAAACATCCTAATCAAGCTTCACCGAGGACGTCCTGGGAAGACTTCAGGATATCAGCAGCCCCTTCCCCGTTGACATGCAGACGGTGACAGGGCAGCTTGGTGTGTCGTCTGGAAGAGAGTTCTCCAACGAGAGGCTTATTTTTTCAGCCACTCTTTCTCTCCAGCTCTTTTTCTTGGAGGACAGGTTAGGCAAAATACGTTAATTGGCTGGGTGTGGATAGGTTGTAGGTGGCTTCCTTTCAAGTGAAATTGAAGCCCTGGTTTTATTTGGCTGGATCGTTTGCCCTCTTCCGCCTGGGAGTTTCCTGCTTCCATTCTCTCCTTCCTTTCCAAAACAGGACCACTAACACCCATGGAGGAAGACCACATAAATCTCGGATTTAAATAAACATGGTTCTAAAGCAGTGGTTCTCCACCTGTGGGTCGGGACCCCATTTGGGGTCGAACGACCATTTCATGGGGGCCGCCAAACAACGCAGTCCGACATTTTTTTCCCCTTTTCCTTAGCTGTGCTCCTCCCTTTTATTCTATTGGCTTTTGAGAGCCAATAGAATAGACTCTCTTGAATAGAGTCTAATTCTATTGGCTTTCCAAAGCCAATAGGAATTGTGCAGGCTGTCTCTGCCCTGCTGAGCGCGCCAAAAGTCCCATTCTGCAAACGGTGCTGCACCGGTTGAGTAGTCCTCGACTTACGACCGGTTGAGTAGTCCTCAACTTACGACCAGTTGGGGGTCGCAGCATTAAAAAGGTTCAGAACCACTGTCCTAAAGTTTGTTTGCCTGGCCTGTAAGCCAGTTTAGAAGGATCGTGTGCTGAAAGACAATAAGTTGAGGGTGGAGGTTCGTTCTCCGAGCTTGTGGGTTGGTTTCCGAACGTTTTGTTACCCGGCTAGGTAACATCCTCAGCGGAATTTAAAATATTCCCGTGTCGATGTTCTTCTGCTTATAAGCAATTCCATCAACAGACGCATCGTCCTACACCCAGCCTATGAACCTCTGAGAATTCAAATCAACCAGACAAGTAACCAGCAACAGCACCAAACCACACAATTCCGCCCCCCTCCACCAGCTTTTCACTTCCCAATGACCCTCACCTGATGTGACCCACACCTGAATATATAAAGAATGGCTCCTGGAATTGGATATGTCTAGTTTAGTGAAAAGAAAGACTTAAGGATGACATGATAGCAGTGTTCCAGTATCTCAGGGGCTGCCCCAAAGAAGAGGGAGTCAAGCTATTCTCCAAAGCGCCGGAAGGCAGGACAAGAAGCAACAGATGGAAACGAATCAAGGAGAGAAGCAACCTGGAATGAAGGAGAAATTTTCTGGCAGTGAGCATAATCAACAATCAACCAGTGGAACAGCTTGCCACCAGAAGTTGTGGGTGCTCCGACACTGGAGGTTTTTAAGAAGATTCTGGACAGCCATTTGTCTGAAATGGTGTAGGGCTTCCTGCCTGAGCAGGGGGTTGGACTAGAAGACCTCCAAGGTCCCTTCCAACTCTTGTTGTTTTGTATTCTGTAAATTCAGGGAGACAGGATAGCCATGCTCACGTGCTGTGGAAGATGGGCAGAATTGCTTGGAGTCTTTCCAGCAGGACAAGGAACCAGGGCTTTAAGTCAGAGGTCGCCACCTCTGGTACTGGTCCGTGGCCCTTTGGGAAGCAGGCCGCACGAGCAGCGGGTGAGCACCTGAGCACGGAAAGCTCCATTTGAACAAGCGGCAGGCGCGCACGCAAAAGCCATCCCCTCCCCCCCCCCCCGCTGTGGGTCCGCAGAACGGGAAAAGTTGGGGAACCCTTTAAGTGACGAGGAAAGAAGAATTTCCAAGTTGTGAGGGGTGTTCAAGAATGGGGCAGACCGAAGGCTGGAGGGCCGTCTGTTGGGGTTGCTGCTGTAGTGCAGAGGTCACCAACCTTTCTCGGTTGGTGGACCAGAGGGAAAGGAAGGGGGAAGCATTTTACACGCGCGCATGTGCACACACACAAACAGGGCCCTGAGCACCCGCGTGACACTTGCTAGCACCGCCCCATTTTTGCCACGCGGCACCCTGTTTTCGCTGCACGGTGCAGCGTAGCAGCGGCGCTAGCGTGAGTGGGGGGTGAGCGTGCACACATACGTGTGCGTTCTGGCCAGCCTGTGGCCCATAGGTTGGGGGTCTCCTGCTGAAGAGAATTCCTGCCTTGGGCTGGGGGCTGAGCCGCGATCTCGCCAAGATCCCTTCCTACCCTGATAGTCTATCACAGGGGTCTTCCAGCTTGGCCCTTTTATGACTTGTGGACTCTCAGCGTACCTGGTTGAGGAATTCTGGGAGTTGAAGTCCACAAGTCATAAAAGGGCCAAGTTGGAAGACCCCTGGTCTATCATCACCACTATTTTCATCCTAGCAGCAAACTCGGGTGGCCGGCTTGGCGTAACTCTGGGCATCCCTCCAAAATCCAGGGGTTGGGCGTGAATATTCTGTGCTTCTCTCATTGCAGCTTCGGTGAACAGCCAGAGGTTTGAAGAAGCTCATTTCACCTTTGCTCTCACTCCCCAGCAGGTGCAACAGATTCTCACTTCGAGGTAAGGGGAGGTCTTTTTTCCCCACTCTGCTAAAATAAATCTCTCTGGTTATTGATTTTAAAATGTTTACATCCCCCCCTGATTGAGAAAAGTCTACAATAAAATTTAGCAAGTAATAGCCTGCAGCACGTCAAGTGTGCAATAAAACTTAAGCATATGGAATAAAATACCGTATATTCCGGCGTATAAGACGACTTTTGAGAGCGTTGAAACAGCCTCCAAACTTGGAGGTCGTCTTATATACTGAGTCGTCTTATACGCCGGAAATAAGGTAGTTTCTGGCATATAAGACGACTTTCTAGGCATGCGACTCGGCGTTGATCGTCTTATACGCCAGAAATAATGTAGTTTCTGAAGTATAAGACGACTTTCTAGGCATGCGACTCGGCGTTGATCATCTTATACGCCGGAAATAACATAGTTTCTGGCGTATAAGACGACTTTCTAGGTATGCGACTCGGCGTCGATCGTCTTATGCGCCGGAAATAATGTAGTTTCTGGCGTATAAGACGACTTTCTAGGCATGCGACTCGGCGTCAATCGTCTTGCGACTCGGTGTCGATCGTCTTGCGGCCCAGCGTCAAACTAGGGGGTCGTCTTATACGCCAGGACGCCCTATACGCCGGAATATACGATACATAAAATAACAAAAAAAGAGTAATGGCTGAAGTTTAAAAATGACGTGTCACAAAGATGCTTTTTCACGAGACAACTGGACTTCCTTGTTTCTCTTTGAAGACATTTCACCTCTCATTCAAGAAGCTTCTTCAGCTCTGACTGGACGGTGGGGAATGGAGTCCAGTCAGTCCAATTGTCTCATGAAAAAACTATAATCTGGAATTTCAAACAACGGCCACAGGGAGGAATTAAGTTTCTCTCCCACGCTCTTTGAGTCAACCCCCCTGTTTTTGCTTTACAGCAGTGCTGATAAGACTCTGCTCTGTGGCTGATCCTACCCACTGATTAACAGAATGTCACCTGCAGAAGTTCATCCAGTGGGGCTACATGCCTAATTGTTATGTATATGTAGGCAGGGGATCCCAAAATTCGCTGTGTTATTTTTCCAGACAAATTTAAGCCTTTTTTTCTTGTCTTTTTTTTCCCCCTCCAGAGATATCTTACCTGGTGCCAAATGTGATTATACTGTACAGGTACAACTGAGGTAAGAAAAGCTTAGCTTAACAGGATGCTTGAAAAGCAGCAAAATATTTGCTGCACCTATAGTGGCAGGAGAGACCCTGACTCATCAGCCACCAAGGGACCTTGGAGGTCTTCTAGTCCAACCCCCTGCCCAGGCAGGAGTCCTTATTCCAGTGGTTCTCAACCTTTTTAATGCCGCGACCCCCAACCGGTCATAAGTCGAGGACTACTCAACCGGCCGTAAGTTGAGGACTACTCAACTGGTGCAGCACCGTTTGCAGACTGGGACTTTTGGCGGGCTCAGCAGGGCAGAGACAGCCTGGACAATTCCTATTGGCTTTTGAAAGCCAATAGAATTAGACTCTATTCAGAGAGTCTATTCTATTGGCTTTCAAAAGCCAATAGAATAAAAGGGAGTAGCACAGCTAAGGAAAAGGGGGAAAAAATGGCGGACTGCGTTGTTTGGCGACCCCCGTGAAATGGTCGTTCGACCCCAAATGGGGTCCTGACCCACAGGTGGAGAACCGCTGCCTTATACCATTCTGGACACATGGCTGTCCAGTCTTTTCTTGAAAACCTTCCGTGATGGAGCACCCACAACTTCTGGAGGCCAGTCGTCCCACTGTTTATTGGTTCTCACTGTCAGGAAATTCCTTCCTTATTTCTAGGTTGGATCCCAGTTTAACAAGCTTCCATCTGTCACTACTTCTCTAGCCACACCTAGCAGAGCAAACAACCATATTTCAAACCCTTCCTTGCTCTTGTGATAATATGCAAGGGAGCCATTCTTGCTTAAACTTAGTTGGATTTCTATTGTAGCGATATACTGTCAATGTTCCCATTTCCACATTTGTCAGATTTTAGTCTCCCAGTCTGACATAGTTCACAAGCATATCTTTTTGGACATTGTGTGCTAGGTTTACTGTGCTATTACTGGTCAATGCCTTCTCAATGGATTTCAGCTGTAGAATCTGGGATTCTTAGGGCATTTCCTCTCCCCCCCCCCTTGACCCTTCTGGTGTTTATATTTTTTCAGGTTTTGCTTATGTGAAACCAGCTGCCCGCAAGAAGATTACTTCCCTCCCAATTTGTTCGTGAAGATCAATGGGAAGCTGTGTCCTTTGCCCGTGAGTAGCCCTCTCTCTCTCTCTCGGTTTCCCAACTCTGAAAGTGAATGGTTCATCTGGATCAGGGCTTTTCAACCTTTTCACCCATTGTACCACTTTTACGATACGGCAACATCCGAGGACCCCCAGTCGCCTAGCAAAGTGTCAAAAACTTGATGATAAAAAAAAAAAGGAAAAAAGTGATAAAGTACAGGTAGTCCTCGACTTACGACAGTTCGCTTAGTGACTGTTCGAAGTTACAATGGCACTGAAAAAAGTGCCCCCCAAGCCACAGCCGAGCGAGACACCTGCCTGCCCGCCTGGCTGCGCTCTTCCTCCTGTCCGAGGTTTTCATTGTTGTGAGCATTTCTGTTGAGGATTGGCAGCGGGGGTGGGGTGGGGGGTGTTTGGTTTTTATTCCCCCCCCCCCCCGTCTGCTGGGTGGTTGCAGCAGGTTTTGGTCACTTCACATGACCCTGGGACACTGTGACCGTCATAAATATGAATCAGTTGCCAAGCATCTGAATGTAAATCACAAGACCCTGGAGAGGCTGCAACATTCCAGCTGATCGGCGCTTCTTCTGGGCTCAGCAGAAGCACCAGGATCAGTGCTGAGCTCCAGCTGGAGCCTGGCACTGATCCTGGCGCTTCCACTGAGCCCTGACAGCCCTGCAGCTCCAGCCGTCTCTCGCTCAGGCTGTGCAGTGCTGTCCCCAGTTCAGCTCATTCCCCTCCCCCCCTACCCCTTTTCTAGGATGGTCGCGTACCACTGCCAGGTGCCAATGTGCCACAGGTGGTACCCGTACCACTGGTGAAAAGCCCTGATCTGGATGATTCAGACAGCCCCCAACTCAGGGGGCTCCATGTTGGGGTTCAACCTGCCCAAGACAGCTCGGATTGGGCAACCTTCCTCGGAGGTCAGGCTCTCTCCGTTGTGGTTGGGGGCAGAGAGTGTGTCCAGGTAGCCCCTTGTTAAGGGATTCCATCTACAACGAACCCCAAACTTACATTGCTAAGTGAAACCTTTCTTAAGGGAGGTTTGCCCCATTTTACAACTTTTCCTATCGTAGTTTGTTAAGTGAATCACTGCAGCTGTTAAGTCAGTAACCCGGTGGTTAAGTGAATCCAGCTTCCCCATAGACTTTGTGGGTCAGAAGGTCGCAAAAGGGGATCACGTGACCCACCCCGGGACCGGCGACCGTCATAAATACGAGTCAGTTGTCAAACGCCTGAATCTCGATCACGGGATCTTGGGGAGGCTGCAATGGCCGTCGATGTGGAAGTCACTTTTTTCAGTGCTGTTATAACTATCGAACAGTCATAAACAGGCGTTATAAGTCGGGGATTCTCTAGATAGGTCAGAACAGGCTGGAGCTGAACACCACGAGAGGGAAGCCTTGTTGAAGTTCTTCTCTCTGGATGGTTCTTGAAGGAGCATATTGATGTCAAAGGGCCCTCGGACGCTGTCGGGTTTTTCGGGCAGCATGGTTTTTGGCAAGTTATCCAAAATTTCTGCAAACATCATTCTACATTTTTTAATCATTCGTTTACATCAGGGGTTCTCCACCTGGGGTCGGGACCCCATTTGGGGGTCGAACGACCATTTCACGGGGGTCGCCAAACAACGCAGTCTGCCATTTTTCCCCCTTTTCCTTAGCTGTGCTACTCCCTTTTATTCTATTGGCTTTTGAAAGCCAATAGAATAGACTCTCTTGAATAGAGTCTAATTCTATTGGCTTTCAAAAGCCAATAGGAATTGTCCAGGCTGTCTCTGCCCTGCTGAGCCCGCCAAAAGTCCCATTCTGCCAACGGGGCTACACCAGTTGAGTAGTCCTCGACTTACGACCGGTGGAGTAGTCCTCGACTTACGACTGGTTGGGGGTCGCGGCATTAAAAAGGTTGAGAACCACTGGTTTACATGAATTATACATTCATGCATAAATCATACACTTACATCAGTTGCTTTCTTCCCACAAGTCCCTGGGGAATATTTGAACATGGCTTACGGTGACACATCGCACCAAGCCAAAGTGTGGTCGATTACACTCGGATTACGGCTTAATGTAGTGTTGAACCCGTCCCATTTTGGTTTGTCAAGCAAACCGTAGTGAAGAAAACAATCTCCTGCCATCCTGTGTATCGTAACGGTGGTCAGGGTCCCCGAAGGCCTGACTGCAGATGTTCTCTTCTGCCGATGCAGGGTTATCTGCCTCCCACCAAAAACGGTGCGGAACCGAAGCGGCCGAGTCGACCGATCAACATCACGCCCTTGGTGCGCCTTTCAGCCACGGTCCCCAACACCATTGTGGTCAACTGGTCGTCGGAATTTGGCAGGGTAAGAGGGGCTCGGAAGCGGGAGGGCGGGAGGGCCAGCCGTTGGAGGCAGCGACATATCCAGCCTGTGAAAGCCAGCAGTGGGGGCACTCACAAAATGTTGCGATGCTAGTCCTTGACTTACCACAGTTCATATGGAATGGAACGGAACAGAATACAGAATACAGAATACAGAATAGAATAGAATAGTAGAATAGAATAGAATAGAATAGAATAGAATAGAATAGAATAATTAGAATAGAAATAGAATAGAATAGAATAATTAGATTTATGGCAAGGCCATAAATCTGGAAATGTTGGGATTTATTTATTTATTTATTTATGAGACTTATATACCGCTTTAAGTGCAAGCACTCTCTAAGCGGTGTACACCAGTAAGCAATGTGTGTGTATGTATATATATATATATATATATATATATAATATATATATATATATATATATATATATATATATATTTTTACGTTGCCCCCAACAATCTGGGTCCTCATTTGACCTACCCCGGAAGGATGGAAGGCTGAGTCAACCTTGAGCCGGTGAGATTTGAACCGCTGACCTGCTGAACATAGTCAGCTAAAGCGGCCTGCAGTACTGCACTCTAACTGCTGCTTTAAATGAATAAAGAAATTAGCCAACATATGAGAATCAGAACGAAGCCTCTTGCTTGCTTGAATGAATGAATGAATGAATGAATGAATGTATTCATAAATGTAAGTCAGAGCCAAGTTTCTTAAATATATTTCTTTCTGTCCACGACATAATCCTGCTTTTGCTCTCTCCAGAATTACTCCCTGTCCGTTTACCTGGTGAAGCAGCTGACCTCGGTGACGTTGCTGCAGAAACTGAGAGCCAAGGGCATCCGCAACCCCGACCACTCCCGAGCCCTGAGTGAGTCCCCAAATTCTTTTGAGTGCTGCTATCGCAGCAGGCCCAGGGCTCTGGCAGCAGCTGCCCTCAACTTGCCTGGGGGCCTTAAACACAAACTTGAACCTTGGGCACTAACTAAAAAAAAAGTGAAATTCAGTAGTGAAAAAAAGTAAGGTTCTACATTTAGGCAAGAAAAACCACATGCACAGGTATAGTATAGGTCAGTGATGGCGAACCTTTTAGAGACCAAGTGCCCAAATTGCAACCCAAAACCCACTTATGCATCGTCGGGTGCCGGGTGGGTGTGTCCCATTGGGTAGGTGTGTCCCATTGGGTGGGCGTAGCTGCGGTGGTAATGGCAGACTGGGTGGGACTAAAAGTTCAATCAATCAATTCCAACTTTGCAAGATCTTTTTTTTTCCCGCGAGGTTGAAATTGACGGATTGATTGAACCTTTTTTTTTGTACATGGCGGCGGAGGCCTAAAGCGAAAAGGTTTTATAAAACCCAGCTGAAGGCCTAGGACTGGGGCGACGGTGCGCGTGCCCACAGAGAGGGCTCTGAGTGCCGCTTCTGGCACCCATGCCATAGGTTCGCCACCACTAGTATAGGTGGTCCCTAGTCCAATAGTACTATAGTAACCGTAGTGGACAATCACTTAAACAGGAGCCAGCCGTGTGCGGCAGCTGCCAAAAGAGCCAACACAGTTCTAGGCTGCATCAACAGAGGGATAGAATCAAGATCACGTGAAGGGTTAATACCACTTTACAATGCCTTGGTGAGGCCACACTTGGAATACTGCATCCAGTTCTGGTCACCACATTATAAAAAAGATGTTGAGACTCTGGAAAGAGTGCAGAGAAGAGCAACAAAGATGATTAGGGGACTGGAGACTAAAACATACGAAGAACAGTTGCTGGAATTGGGTATGTCTAGTCTAGGACTGGGGGTGACATGATAGCAGTGTTCCAATATTTGAGGGGCTGCCCCAAAGAAGAGGGAGTCAACCTATTCTCCAAAGCACCAGAAGGCAGGACAAAAAACAACGGATGGAAACTAATCAAGGAGAGAAGCAACCTAGAACTAAGGAGAAACTTCCTAACAGAGAACAATTAACCAGTGGAACGACTTGCCTCTAGAACAGTGCTTCTCAACCTTTCTAATGCCGCGACCCCATAATACAGTTCCCCGTGTTGTGGTGACCCCCAACCACTTATACATCACTGGGTGCCAGGGGCGTGGCCAAAGAAAAGGGGGGAAAATGGTGGACAGCCTTGTTTGGCGACCCCCGTGAAATGGTCGTTCGACCCCAAATGGGGTCCCTACCCACAGGTTGAGAACCACTGCTCTAGAACATGTGGGTGCTCCATCACTGGAGGGTTTTAAGAAGAGATTGGACAACCATTTCTCTGAAATGGTAGAGGGTTTCCTGCTGAGCAAGGGGTTGGACTGGATGACCTCAAAAATCCCTTCCAACTCTATTGTTCTGTCTTCTGCATGATTTGTACCCTTGCAGAAATGGGTAGAGGGGCCACTGCTGGGTATTCCATGCGTGGCATGGCAGTTTGTACTTTCCCAGCTTCCCCCCCCCCACCCCGGTCAGGCATTTTGTTCCGTGTTTCTTTCAGGTGCATTTTGAATTTGAACCCAGTGGGAATGCAAAACAAGCCCTTGTAGCCTTGTTAAACTAGTGTGTGCTGAATGCTAGAATTCTAACGCTAGAAATACTTTACCAAGGAAACTATTTTAAAACATTAAAAATAACTCCATGGCAGCGAATGGGAGCAACATTGGATGGCAGCAAATGTTACTTACTTTTAAGCCAAAATAAGAGTATGAGAGAGCTTGTTCTAAATTCCCCTTTTTTCTCCCAAGAGGAACCTTTTAATAATAATAGTAGTAGTAGTAGTAGTAGTAGTAGTAGTAGTAAAGTTGGGAGGGACCTTGGAGGTCATCTAGTCCAATCCCCTGCTCAGGCAGGAAACCCTATACCATTTCAGACAAATGGCTGTCCAGTCTCTTCTTAAAAACTTCCAAAAACTCACTGCTTCTGGAGGCAGGTTGTTCCACTGGTTAATTGTTCTGTCAGGAAGTTTCTTCTTAGTTCTAGATTGACTTAACAACCACTAGCTTAACAGCTGCAGGGATTCACTTAACAAATGAGGCAGAAAAATTCTCTAAAGTGGGCCAAAACTCACATCATCATCATCATCATCATTATCATCATCATCATAAAGTTGGAAGGGACCTTGGAGGTCATCTAGTCCAACCCCCTGCTCAGGAAGGAAACCCTACACCTAACAAAAGTCTCGCTTTGTAACATACATTTTGGGCTCAATAGTGTGTGTAAGTCAAGGACTACGTGTGTATATCCTTCTTTTATTGTGTGTTTTTTTTTTACTCCAGGTGAAATGTTAGTGTATGTCATAAGTCCGTGTATGTTGCACCACGTGGTACATAACTCTCTTCCGTGAATTATTTGTGCTTGGGATTTTAAAAAAAGCTTTTTTTCTCTTTGCAGTCAAAGAGAAGCTGACAGCTGATCCTGACAGCGAGATCGCCACCACGAGTTTACGAGTGTCGCTCATGTGTCCGGTAATGTCTGCCAGCAGCGCTCACTGTTAGTCTTTTTATGGTTTTGGGGGAAAAAAGTCGACTTGCTTGATACCAAGAGAAACCCCATAAAATGCATTTACGCTTGGACTGTTTTCCACCCCAGAAACGTGTATACAGGCAGTCGTCTATTTAAAACTTTAAGGAAGCCTTCCCTCGTGGTTGTGGCTTGACATGATTTTACAGTCTTTTTGTGCTGGCTGTTAGAACACAGCCGTCATAAAACGAATCAAAGACAGCTTTGCGAAGCGCTGGGAGTGAATACAGGAAGTCCTCAACTTACGAGCACAATCGAGCCCCAGATTTATGCCGCAAAGCGAGACATTTGTTAAGTGAGTTTTGCCCCGTTTTACGGCCTTCCTTGCCATACTTGTTACGTGAATCGCTACGGTTGTTAAAACGAGTAACACAGTCGTAAAGCAGGTCGGGCTTCCCCCGATGACTTTGCTTGGGGGTCACAGAAGGGGAATCACATGACCACCCACCTCCACCCAGGGATGCTGAAGCCGTCATAAATACGAGTCGGTTGCCAAGGGTCCAAATGTTGATCCCCTGAGCCTGGGGATGCTGCAGTGGTCGTAACTCTGAAAAACGGACCTCAATCACTTTTTTCCACTGCTGCTGTGACTTTGTGAGGATTTCTTAGAATGGTTTTTTTTTTTAATTAAAAAGATTTATAAAAAATTACAATATCAACCCACCCCCAAACCCCCCCTCTCCCTCCCCCACTTCCCAGAGCTGAATACAGGGTTACAAATATGATAATCATAATCTAACTAACACTAACCAACTATATAAATAACCAAATACATAATGCACTTTAACTCCCCTTTAACATAAATATAAACAAATTAAAAGTAAACATAATAATAATGAAAACATAAACAAATTAATGTCCTAATTATTAAACAATACAGTCCCCAAATAATTAAACAATACTAATACTAAAAATAATATAATAATACTCTAAAATTCACTCATAGGCTAAATGAAACTTTTTAGTCCCATATTTATTCTGAATATAATTTATCCATCTTCTCCAAACCGAAATGTATCTTTCTTATGAGTGATCCTTCAAGTAAGCAGAAATCTTAGCCATTTCTGCTAAATTTGACACTTTAAGCGTCCATTCTTCTATAGTAGGCAAGCAATCCTTCTTCCAATATTGCCCTACTAATAACCTTGCAGCTGTTATCAAATTCAACATCAAATTAATTTCTTTAGCATCAAAATCTGTAATAACACCCAATAAAAATAATTGTGGGGTAAACTTTATCTTTCTATTAAAAATCTGTTGAATGTTCCATCAGATCTTAATCCAAAAGGCTTTTATATTTCTACCATATATGAAAATAAGTGGCATCCAAATTACCACATCTCCAACATTTGGGCTGTAAATTAGGATACATACAAGACAACTTTTTAGGATCCAGATGCCATCTATAAAACATATTAAAATATTAGAATGGGTTTTAGCTACACTTGTAGAACGCAGTCACAGGAACGGCAGGATGCTGCAAACAGCCATGAATTGTGTGATTGGTCACTGGAATGTGCTGGATGGCGAAGCACATAACAGAATGCTGATGCCCTGTTGGGAGGGCATCCCCCACTGCAGGGGTCTGGGTCCTCCCCTAGCAACTCATCCTCCCCATCCCTTTCCTCCCCCCGCCAGCTGGGCAAGATGCGGCTGATCGTTCCCTGTCGTGCCTTTACCTGCACCCACCTCCAGTGCTTCGATGCGGCCCTGTATCTGCAGATGAATGAGAAGAAGCCCACCTGGACGTGTCCCGTCTGCGACAAGAAGGCTCCCTATGAGGGATTGATCATTGACGGGTAAGGCTGGGGAGGCCGGGGGCTCCCTTTCTCCTGCTGCCTGTGGGGAGACCCTTGGGGGGAGAGGCCATCTGGAGATCATCAAGCTGCTCCTGAGGCAGAATCAGAATAGAGCTGGAAGGGACCTTGGAGGTCTTCTAGTCCAGCCCCCTGCTCAAGCAGGAGAACCTAGACCAGTGGTTCTCAACCTTTTTAATGCCGCGACCCCCAACCGGTCGTAAGTCGAGGACTACTCAACTGGTGCAGCACCGTTTGCAGAAGGGGACTTTTGGCGGGCTCAGCAGGGCAGAGACAGCCTGGACAATTCCTATGGGCTTTTGAAAGCCAATAGAATTAGACTCTATTCAAGAGAGTCTATTCTATTGGCTTTCAAAAGCCAATAGAATAAAAGGGAGTAGCACAGCTAAGGAAAAGGGGAAAAAAATGGCGGACTGTGTTGTTTGGCGACCCCCGTGAAATGGTCGTTCGACCCCAAATGGGGTCCTGACCCACAGGTTGAGAACCACTGACCTAGACCATCTCAGACACAGGACTGTCTAGCCCAGGGGTAGATAACCTTGGCTCTTTTATGACTCATGGACTTCAACTCCCAGAATTCCTGAGCCAGCTGTGCTGGCTTAGGAATTCTGGGAGTTGAAGTCCACAGGTCTTAAAGTGGCCAAGTTTAAAGACCCCTGTGGAAGAGTCTTAAGATCTGATTTTGTTGATCAGCTTGGTGCCATCATGGGGGTGCTCTTTGCTGGAGGTGGTTGATGGGGTAAGAAGACCTTAGCCCTGGGCCATTTTGTAACTCTTCGTCATTTTAATTTTATTTCATGCTAGCTGTACCCAGCCACGCGTTGCTGTGGCTCAGGAAAGAAAAGAGAAAGCGCACGTTTGTAATATGTTTAATTTCACAATGCTTGTGGGTATACAGTATTTTTTTGTTCCATTGTGTGTGCAGATATAGAGATTACGTCCAACAGATGGCGCTGTTTTTCAAAAAAAGCATGTTTTACCTGTTTTCCAAAAAAAGCATGTTTTTACCTGTTACAGGTGTGACCTCTATATAATATAGGTATATAAAAACACGCGCGTATTCTCACAATGCTTGTGGGTGTACAATATTTTTTGTTGTTCCATTGTGTGTGTAGTTATAGAGATTATGTCCAACAGATGGCGCTGTTTTTCAAAAAAAGCATGTTTTTACCTGTCACAGGTGTGACCTCTATATAATATAGATATATAAAAACACGCACGTATTCGAATGCAACGTTGTGGCAAAATTTCAAAGCAATCAGTGAAGAACTTTTGGAGATTTAAGATTTTGAACAAACGAACATTTACATTTTTATTTATAGATATAGATTTACCTTTTTACTCTTGGTAAGTTGCTCAAAATAGCTCCTTCTTAACTTCCTTTCTAATAATTCTTGTCTATTTGCCCACGGGCGATGGGCTATTGGAAAAAAGACAGGAAAAATGAGTGAGATCCTTATGCTTTGTTAACAAGCCACAAACCAGTCATTACAATGTAATACAGAGTTTCTCAACCTGTATTAGTGGACTTCCAACTCCCAGAATTCCCCAGCCAGCTATGGGAGTTGGAAGTCCAACCATCTTCATGTTGCCAAGGTTGAAAAACTCTGATGTAATAAAACCGAAAAAGCGAATAGAATCCTGGGTTGTGTAAACAGAGGCATAGAGTCAAGATCACACGAGGTATTATTACCGCTTTACAAAGCCCAGTGAGACCACATTTGGAATACTGCAGCCAATTTTAGTCACCATATATCAAAAAAGATGTTCAGAGTTTGGAAAAAGTTCAGAGAACAGAACTAAGATGATCCAAGGCCTGGAGACTAAAACATATGAAGAACGGCTACGGGACTTGGGTTTGGCTAGTCTAAAGAAAAGAAGAAATAGGGGAGACATGATAGCAGTGTTCCAGCATTTGAGGGGCTGCCACAAAGAAGAGGGAGTCAGGTTGTTCATCAAAGCACCAGGGGGCAGGACAACAAACAATGATTGGAAATTGACCAAAGAGAGAAGCAAACTGGAATTAAGGAGAAACTTCCTGACAGTGAGGACAACTAACCAGTGGAACAGCTGGCCTCCAGAAACCGTGGACGCTCCATCACTGGAGATTTTTAAGAAGAGACTGGACAGTAACTTGTCTGAGATGGTACAGGTTCTCCTGCTTGAGCAGGGGGCTGGACTAGAAGACCTCCAAGGTCCCTTCCAGCTCGATTCTCTTCTAAATTCGAAAAACACTGAATGAGACGGAGCTATTGCAATGTGATACAGAAACAGAAATACCTGCCCTTGGTGTCAAATCACACCTTTGACTAAGTTCATGAACAATGTGAAGCCTTAAACCATTGGTTCTCAATCTTTTTAATGCCGCGACCCCCAACCGGTCATAAGTCGAGGACTACTCAAACGGTCGTAAGTCGAGGACTACTCAACTGGTGCAGCACCGTTTGCAGAATGGGACTTTTGGCGGGCTCAGCAGGGCAGAGACAGCATGGACAATTCCTATTGGCTTTGGAAAGCCAATAGAATTAGACTCTATTCAAGAGAGTCTATTCTATTGGCTTTCAAAAGCCAATAGAATAAAAGGGAGGAGCACAACTGAGGGAAAGGGGGGGGGAATGGCGGACTGCATTATTTGGCGACCCCCGTGAAATGGTCGTTCGACCCCCAAATGGGGTCCCGACCCACAGGTTGAGAACTACTGCCTTAAACCGTGGCTTGTATATAACTCTGTGGAGCCAAATCCCAACAACTTGCAAGGGTTTTTCAGGCCTGGGCTCACAAGCGTGCGGAAAGGTGATAGGGCTCACCTGTTGCAAGGTGGCGAGCGTTCTTTAATGTCCCTTGAGAGATGCTGCCTTGCCGGTGGGGACGTAAGTTTGGAGACCCAGTGGGAAGCCTGTTCAACAGGGTCTCTGAGAAGCTTGGCGCCTCGGTTCCTCTCCAGTGCTGTCCGTCAACCATCCCTCCTTCTGACTTGCTCCCCTCCCCAGGCTGTTCATGGAGATCCTGAACTCTGTGACGGACTGCGATGAGATCCAGTTCATGGAAGACGGTTCCTGGTGCCCCATGAAGCCCAAGAAGGAGAACCAGGACGTTTGCCAGCCGTCCGCGTACAATGGACTGGAAGGTAGGTGGAGGCTCGGCTTTGACGCGCTGGCCATGGCTTTTGGGCGCGAAAGGAGGGCCCTGGCTGGTGTGGGTGTGTGTGTTGTGGGTCCAGGAGCAGAGAGGGGTCCTTGCTGCAAGAGGCCCCAAATCTGGGAGCACTTTGCCCCTCTTCTGCACACGGAGGCTCCTCTGTGGTGTCTCAGTGGCTGATGACTTAGCATCGAGGTGGCGCAGCAGTTAGGGTGCAGTACTGCAGGCCACTTTAGCTGACTGTGTTCAGCAGGTCAGCAGTTCAAATCTCACCGGCTCAAGGTTGACTCAGCCTTCCATCCTTCCGGGGTAGGTCAAATGAGGACCCAGATTGTTGGGGGCAATGTGTATATATATATATATATATATATATATACACATTGCTTACTGGTGTACACCGCTTAGAGAGTGCTCGCACTTAAAGCGGTATATAAGTCTCGTAAATAAATAAATAAAATCGTGGCGTCCCAGGGATTGTGCCGTGCGCAAGGCTGGCTGGCTGAAGCCAGTTTCTGAGCCTTGCCATTGTTTTTGTTGCAGCCTCCCTGTACACAGTAAGTTCAGAGGGAAAGCCACTGCCCGAAAGCAAGAAGAAGGTGGAGGTGATTGACCTGACCCTGGACAGCTCTTCGGACGACGAGGAACTCCTTGCCAAGAAAGTGTGTTCGGTGGCCATTGCGGCCATCCCGCCAGCAGCCGGACCAAAATGGTAGGGGCTGTTGTCTCTGAGGCCTTTCCTTCCTCTGGCTTGGCCAATTTCTGTGAGCCAGACTCGGTGACGGGAAGGCTCTTAGGACGTGGAATCCTAGGCCCGCAAGGGATCTCGGAGGTCTTCTAGTCTGACCCGCTGCCCGAGGCAGGGGTCCTTCCTTCATTTGGGACAAAGGGCTGCGCAGTCTTTTTCTGGGAAACCTCCAGTGACGTAGCATCCACAACTTCTGGAGGCAAGCTGTTCCTTTGATTAATTGTTCTCATTGGCGGGAGATCGACAGGAGCTTTGTGCTAGAACAGGGGTAGGCATGCTGGCTCAGGAATTCTGGGAGTTGAAGTCCATCAGTCACAAAAGAGCCAAGGTTGCCTACTCCTGGCCTAAGTCCTCCTGTTCTAAGCGGTGACCAGGGGTAGGCAACCTTGGGCCCTTCACGACTCGTGGAATTCAACTCCCAGAATTCCTGAGCCAGCCTGGCTCAGCTTGGAAACCTCTCCGTTTCCCCTCAGCATGGCTGATTCAGGAATTCTGGGAGTGGAAGTCCACCCACCATAAAAGAGCCAGGGTTACCTAACCCTGCCCCAGCAAGCCAGGAATTCTGGTAGTTGAAGTCCACAAGTCATAAAAAGAGCCAAGGTTGCCTACCCCTGTCCTAAGTCCTCCTATTCTAAGCGGTGAGCCTCCTAGACCAGGGGTAGGCAACCTTGGGCCCTTCATGACTCATGGACTTCCAGAATTCCTGAGCCAGTATGGCTCAGCTTGGAAACCTCTCCGTTTCCCCTCAGCACAGCTGGTTCAGGAATTCTGGGAGTTGAAGTCCACGAGTCACAAAAGAACCAGGGTTGCCTACCCCTGTCCTAGAAAGACTTCCCTTTTTAGCTTTTCTTTCTTTCTGGCTCTATTTCTGGGAGGTCCAGGAAGGTGAAACAGACTAGCTTGTGTTCATAATGGTTCGTGATTTGTGTATTCAAGGTTGTTTTTTTTTTTAAGAGTTAAATGAACTTTCTTGGGTGAATTCATCAGGTTAATGTATTTATTAGGGGAGGGAGATAAATTGCCTCTCAGTCCTTCTGAACAGGGCCTGGGTCTTCTGCTTTCACTGGCCCCCTCTGTCTTTTCCCCCTTTCCCCCATCATTACGTACGAAGTGGCCTTGACCCATCAAATCTTAATATAAAATGGATTAATGTTTAAAGCAGTGGTTCTCAACCTTTTTAATGCCGCGACCCCCCAACCGGTCGTAAGTCAAGGACTACCCAACCGGTCATAAGTTGAGGACTACTCAACTGGTGCAGCACTGTTTGCAGACTGGGACTTTTGGCGGGCTCAGCAGGGCAGAGACAGCCTGGACAATTCCTATTGGCTTTTGAAAGCCAATAGAATGAGACTCTGTTCAAGAGAGTCTATTCTATTGGCTTTCGAAAGCCAATAGAATCAAAGGGAGGAGCCCAGCTAAGGAAAAGGGGGGGAAATGGCGGACTGCGTTGTTTGGCGACCCCCGTGAAATGGTCGTTCAACCCCAAATGGGGTCCCGACCCACAGGTGGAGAACCGCTGATTTAAAGCCTGGATGTGCAACTGCATGGCCCAGGTGAGCTTCTTTTTGGATAACATTCTGCGGAACTTAATCTTTGGAAGGTAATCTTCTTTGGAAGACCCAGGCCCTTTCTGTGGGGGGTTGGTGGTGAGGGCTGGACCGGCAGTTTATCTTCCTCTCTGTAATTCTTTGGAATATTATCTGAGCACAGTTGCCGGAAACTGCCCAAATTCCAAAATTCAATAAAAAAAAACAACAAAAGTGGAACTCCCCAGCTCTTCCTCTTCCCGCTGGCTTGTGAGTCCCCCCAGAAGAAATAGAATTGGCCCCCAAAGCCTGCTGCAAGTGCCCCTTTTCTCCCCGAGAACCGAAGGGTCTTCCAGCTCTGCTAACCTTCCATTCCCTTTCAGGGTTTTGAACGCAGACCACCAGCCCTCCTCGGTGTTGCGGAGCCCCTCAATGGCTGCGATGGGCAGTGATTTTCTCTCCAGCCTCCCCCTGTCAGACTACCACCCTTCTTATCCGGTCCCTTCAGACATTCAAGGTAAGCAGGACCAGGTGACTCCAAGCTCGCGCTCTCTTCCCTAAATTGGGGGGAACTGGAGAAGAAAAGGAATCTGCAGGGTCCTGCCCCAGCTACTCTTGAAACAGGCCTTATTTATTTATTTATTTATTTATTTATTTATTTATGAGACTTATATACCGCTTTAAGTGCGAGCACTCTCTAAGCCAGTGGTTCTCAACCTTTTTAATGCCGCGACCCCCAACCGGTTGTAAGTCGAGGACTACTCAACCGGTCGTAAGTCGAGGACTACTCAACGGGTGCAGCACCGTTTGCAGAATGGGACTTTTGGCGGGCTCAGCAGGGCAGAGACAGCCTGGACAATTCCTATTGGCTTTGGAAAGCCAATAGAATTAGACTCTATTCAAGAGAGTCTATTCTATTGGCTTTCAAAAGCCAATAGAATAAAAAGGAGTAGCACAGCTAAGGAAAAGGGGGAAAAAAATGGCGGACTGCGTTGTTTGGCAACCCCCGTGAAATGGTCGTTCGACCCCAAATGGGGTCCCGACCCACAGCTGGAGAACCACTGCTCTAAGTAAGCAATGTATATATATATATATCTACATTGCCCCCAACCATCTGGGTCCTCATTTGACCTACCCCGGAAGGATGGAAGGCTGAGTCAACCTTGAGCCGGTGAGATTCGAACCGCTGACCTGCTGAACAACAGTCAGCTAAAGGGGCCTGCAGTACTGCACCCTAACTGCTGCGCCACCTCGGCTCTTATCTCCAAGGGATCTTTTACTGAGAGAAAGTGGTTGCAGGGAAGACGTGCCGAATCTGAAATTCCTGCGCGAAAACGTTAGGCGAATTCCTGAACCCCTCCCCGGTGCCCCAGTCCACCAGGAGCCAAGCTGATGATGGTGCAAAGTTGTTGTGAGAACTCCCAGCCGAAGAGAGGAGCCAAACCAGATGGCCCTGAAGGCTTCTCTCCCCCCCCCTCCCCAGTTCCCAGGCAGATACATCAGAGCAGAAGTAGAAACAATATAGAACTAGATTCCCCCAAAGCGCGCCCCTTCTTCCTTCAGGATGGCAGGGTTCCAACAGGGACCTGACAGAGTCAGAGGTAAAGCTCACCTGTCTTCGTGGCATTGTGGCTTCTCGGTCTTGGACGGGTTTCAGCTTCTCGTGTGAACACAGCCCACAAAGGGGCCCAGGCCCTTGTCTGGTTAGCAAGCCCAGATATTGCACCTGTGGATGTTAGCCACCTCTGAAGACCCCCAGTGCCATCCATCTGGCTTAAGTTAGTTAGCAAAGAATGGCCTCGGGATCATTGTTTCTCCCAAGAGTAGACAGTCTGGAATGGAATGGAATAGAATTACAGAATAGAAATACAGAATAGGATAGCATAGGATAGGATAGCATAGGAATACAGAATAGAGTAGAATAGAATAGAATAGAATAATGGAATGAAGAATGGAATGGAATAGAATAGAATAGAATAGAATAGAATAGAATAGAATAGAATAGAATAGAATAGAATAATGGAATGAAGAATGGAATAGAATAGAATAGAATAGAATAGAATAGAATAGAATAGAATAGAATAGACTAGAACAGAACAGAATACCAGAATAGAACAGAATAGAATAGAATAATAGAATAGAATAAACTAATAGAATAACAATAGAATAAAATAGGAATAGAATAGAATGGAATGGAACAGAATAAAATAATAGAAGAATAGAATAAAACAGGATAATAGAATAGAATAATAGAATAGAATAAAATAGGAATAGAATGGAATGGAGTGGAATAATAGAATAGAATAGAATAAAATTACATAATAGAATAGAATAGAGCTAGAAGGGAGCTTGGAGGTCTTCTACTCCAGCCCCCTGCTCAACCTATACCAGTGATGGCGAACCTTTTAGAGACCGAGTGCCCAAACTGCAACCCAAAACCCACTTACATATCGCCAGGTGGGTGTGGCCCACTCGGCGTGCGCAGCTACAGTGGGCTTGGCAGACTGGGTGGGTGTGGCTGCAGTAGTCATGGCAGATTGGTTGGGCATGGCCGGGGTGGGCATGGCCACCTTGATGTTGCTTATGGGGAGGAACACCTGTGGGAGCCGGGCAGGGTTGGGAGGGATCCAGGGGATCTCTGGTGCGTGGGATGGCGGGCTCCCCAATGGCGGCTACAGGCTGGCCGGCCTTGGGCCAGTGATGGCAAACTTTTAGGGACCACGTGTGCTGGGGCAATGGCACATGCCCACAGAGAGGGCTCCGCGTGCCGCCTCTGGTATGCGTGCCATAGGTTCGCCACCACTGACCTATACCATCTCAGACAAGGGACTGTCTAGCTCTAGCCTCTTCTTAAAAATCTCCAGGGATGGAACGGCCACGATTCCTGGTGGCAAGCTGTTCCACTGGTTAATTGTCCTCACTGTCAGGAAGTTTCTCCTTAATTCCAGGTTGCTTTTCTCCTTGATCAGTCTCCAAGCATTGTTTGTTGTCCTGCCCTCTGGTGCTTTGGGGAATGACCCACAATTGAGCCCAGAATTTATGTTGCTAAGTGAGAAATGCGTTAAGCGGGTTTTGCCCCATTTTGCGACTTGTCCTGCTTGCCACAGTGGGTAAGGGAATCACTGCATTCGTTAAATTAGTAACCCGGTTCTTAAGTGAATTCTGGCTTACTCTCATTGACTTTACTTGTCAGAAGGTTTCAAAAGCTGGTCATGTGACCGCAGGACCCTACGACCGTCATAAATATGAGTCAGTCGCCAAACATCTCAGTTTGGATCACATGATCATGGGGATGCTGGAAAGGTCAGAACTGAAAAACACTCATCAGTCACTGTTTTTTTTACTGCCGTCGTAACTTTGAACGGTCATTAAACGAACTGTTGTAAGCCGAGGACTACCTATCTTTTTAAAAATCTTTTCCTTCATTTTAGCATTAAGTTGCTTTCCCCCTTTCCGTTTCTCTAGGTCTGGATTTGTTTTCCTTTCTTCAAAGTGAAAACCAGGTATGTTTTCTCTCTTGTCTTCCGTCTCCCAACCAACCATTCATGAAATCCACAGCGTGGTCATTAAAATGGAAGGTTTCTTTTTCTCTGCGTTTAATTGCCTTGGTAACCCAGCAAGCTTCCTTTTACAGCTCTTCAAGCTTTTTCAGACTTGCAAGACTCAGAGTTCAGAACATCAGTTCCAAAGAATAGAAGAGAAGAGAAGGAAGAGAAGAGAAAAGAAGAGAAGAGAATAGGGAATAGAGTAGAGTAGAATAAGAATACAGTAGAATGGAATGGAATAGAATAGAAAATAGAATAGAACAGGGAATAGAGTAGAGTAGAATAGAATAGAATAGAATAGAATAAGCACTTATATACCACTTCACAGTGCTTTACAGCCCTCTCTAAGCGGTTTACAGGGTCAGCCTCTTGCCCCCAACAATCCAGGTCCTCATTTTACCGACCTCAGAAGGACAGAAGGCTGAGTCAACCTTGAGCTGGTCAGGATCGAACTGCCTTACTGCTGGCAGTGGGCAGTCAACAGAAGTAGCCTGCAGTGCTGCATTCTAACCACTGTGCCACCACGGCTGTGTACCAAAGTTGAAAAGCCAGGCAGCACCAGATTGGCCTGTGATGACAGGTAGTCCTCAACTTACAAGCACAATTTGAGCCCCAGGTTTCTGCTGTTAAGTGAGACATTTGTCAAGTCAATTTTGCCCCATTTTGCGACCTTTCTTGCCGCAGTTCTTAAGTGAATCTCTGCACTTGTTAACTGAGACATTTGTCAAGTCAATTTTGCCCCATTTTACGACCTTTCTTGCCGCAGTCGTTAAGTGAATCACTGCAGTTGAGAAGTTAGTGACACGGTTGTTAAGTGAACCTGGCTCCCCCCTTGACTTTGCTGGTCAGGAGTTCGCAAAAGGGGATCACGTGACCCTGGAACACGGCAACCGTCACAAATGTCGGTCGGTTGCCAAGCAACCGAATGTAAACCACGTGACCCTGGGGATGCTGCCAACGGTCGCAAGTTTGAAAAAATGGTCCTAAGTCACTTTTTCCAGTGCCGTTGTAACTTTGAACGGTCACTAAGCAAACTGTGGTAAGTTGAGGACTACCTGTAGCTCCCTCTCCTTCAGCCCAAGGACTTCGGGCATAGCAAGTGCGCTAAGGGCAGAAGACAAACATTGTCCTGATTGTTAACAACAAGTCTTTCCCTCTTGCAGCACTACGGGCCCTCCGTGATCACCACCTCGGACGAACAGGAGTCGCTGAGCCATTTTTTTCAGTATCGGGGGACCTCCCCGCATTTCATGAGCCCCCTCTCTCCGATTGTGGTGGGATCCCACAATGGGGTCAGCTCCCCCACCAGCAGCCGCATGAACAGCGTGGTCTCTTCGCCCACGGCCAGCTTGCGGGAGAGCCACGGGGCCATGGGAAGCAGCCCGGCTCTGCCGGGGTGTCGGCCGGACATCATCTCTCTGGACTAAAGGGGGGGGGCACACCCTCTGGGACTCCCTTCCCCTCTGGAGGAAGGAAGACATTTTGGCAACTGAGGCAACGTGTCGGCAGCTGAGAAGAGGGGAAGAGGCACGGCGGAGGGATTCTACTTTGTGACCGCTGTCGTCCTAAAGTGAGCCTGGAAAATCATGGCAGTTTTAAAGCTGGAAACTCTCCCGGACGCCAAGCTTTCGGTCCGTGTGGATTGCAGAGGGCTCCGTCTCTGAATCAGAAGAGTCACAGCTGAATGTGGGTCATGGGAGCGGGGGCTAAGCGGGAGTTCAATCTTCTGTTGTATGTCCAAGTTACAGAACCCTGGCCTTTTGCTTAGCTGTGGAAACCCAGTTTAAGGTGGGCAGGATCGGATGAGTGCAGCAGACGGGGGCATTTGAAATTCTGCACGGCTTGAACTCGGAACAAGCAGTCAGGACCACACTGGGTCAAGCATGGCACAAGTTCATTGGATCGGGAGCCTGCTGGCCAAATCTGAAGGCCGCCTTAAATCTCCACGTTGGAGGATTCGAAGGCTGACGTGTTTTGAATCGGGAACATTTGGCGGAACCCTGGAAGTTGGCTCCTCCTCGCATTAAAACAAACATTTTTTTTTTTTAAAGGATGCTGGCTAGACCAATTGAGGCCAATATGAATGTTTTGCAGGTTCTTGCATTTTCACAGCTCTGTTGTTGGGGAAGGAGCAGAGTTTTTTCCCTAACCAGTTTTTTCTCTAACTCCCAAAGTGTATTTTCTGTACTTATAAAAGGCCAGCAGCCTCTTTGGAGGTTTGAAGGTGTAACAAGGGAAAGCTGAGTTTTATGCAGAAAATTCCACTGCTTTCTGTTCCCCCTCTTTGGGGGAAGTTCCCATAGGCAGCCAGGAGAAGGCAGAAGACCCGCGGGAAGGCTGGGAAGCGTCTGCCCTCTTTGCTCATCCGTGCCCCCTCCAGCTGAGCCTTCCCTTTTGGAAATCTCTACGCAGAGACGGGATGCTCGCCTTGTCCTGGGGCGAAAAAAGTTGCCAAGGAGATGTTTGAGCTGTGAGGTGCAAAGTTTGAATCCCAACTTCGGTGAAGCACGACTACCACCCCCAGAACAGAAGACAATTCTTCTCGGACACTCCTAGCTTCAGATTTTGTAGAATCCAACCAGAACTGCCATCGGGCCACCGAAGGGAGCCCTGGGAATGCGCCGGGTGGATTTTTTAGGATTTTGGTTGGGGCACCTGGCACTGCCTGCCTGATGTGGATTTGCAAGGGGGGGGGGTGTTCCCTTTGAAGCTGGCTTTCCATACCCCTGGGGTGGGCTCAGGGGCCAAGGGACCGTCTGCCAGGCTGCCTTCAAAAACCCCACCATCCGGTTGCCGTTACTGGTGGTTTCCAGGGATTGCCCGGTCTGTAGGCTCTTGCTGTTACCATGTATTTTTTTACACTTTAAATCTTGTATTTCCACCCCCCCCCTTAAAAGTATTTCCAGCCAATCCTGTACAGAGAACAAAAGATCTATCAATCAATCAATCTATATATATCTATATATCTATATTACGATAATCTATATTTTCAGTTTTTGTACATAATGCAACTCCAAAGATCTTTTCTCTGCGTTTTTTCCCTTCCTTTTCTGAGGACTAAATGAAGGTGGCGTCATACTTTGCACACGTGTAAGTGAGCGTGAGGGGCAGTGCATTGTCCGTTGCACGGCTAATTTATATATTTATGTACGTGTTCTGAGTTGTGTGTGTGTGTGTGTGTGTGCGTTTTTCAGTTGGAAGCTTTCTGAGTCCAGCTGCTCAGCCTCCCCTTCCCACCTCTTCAGCCAGTTGGGTGTTTGAGCCTCCAACGTGGAAGTCCTGGAAAACCTCCGCGCAGCCAGAACTGTCCCGGTGGAGTCTGGTCCGAGACACAATGAAGGAAACTCTTAATTTTGCAGAACTTCCCCTTCAAGCCCTTTGCTTCCTGCATGATTTCCCAAAGCCTCAGTGGAGAAGGCCGGATTCCTATTTTAAGTATTTAATTTTAACACTGCTTGTTACCCACACTCCATCGTTGTGTGGCTTTCTTTCAAGCATTTCGGTTTCAATCAAAGGGAATGTTTTTCCGGGACAGCTGAAGTTTTCCTAAACGTTCCCGGGAGGGGTCTGTGACAACTTGCGGTGGACAACTCGCCATGGAGCAAGAGTTAACATTAATGTAGAAGAAATGGTAGCATAGAATCATGAAAGGAGGGACAGAATGAAATTTTATTTAAAACAAATTAAAAAAAAAAACCTTTTAATTTTTGACATTCACAGAATGACAAAACTTGAAATATTTTTTTAAATTTATTTTAAATAAATAGCATTGTTAAATTCTCCTGCAGTGAGTTGTCCCGTGAGTGAGTGGTCTCCCGGGAGGAGCCAGGGCTAAGGGCAGGGGGAGTGGAGGCCGAGACCCCATTTGTAGCCAGTGTTTGTGGCTGTGCAGGTGGAGAAGAGGCTGACCTCCTTTAAGCAGTGTTTCTCAACCTTGACAATTTTAAGGCATGTGGACTTCAACTCCCAGAATTCCACAGCCAGCAATGCTGGCTGTGGAATTCTGGGAGTTGAAGTCCACATGCCTTAAAATTGTCAAGGTTGAGAAACACTGCAAGTTTAGTGGATCTTTTTTTCTGTCTTTTGGAAGAGACAAACCTCCTCTCCTGGGCTTATTTATTCTGTCATATCCTTGTTTTTATCAACTCAGAGCCATGGTGTATATGCCTTTGTAGAGAAAAATATAATAATAAAAAAAAAAGTTGCAAAGAGCTGTGGTCCCACATCATTAAGGGTCTTCTCCATCTTGGCTGCGTCGCTGGCTTTTTTTTCCCCAGCCTTGTAAATATATTATAAGTTGGGGAAGGGGGGGTGGGTGAAGTGTTGGCACAATCCCAGTTCATAATGAAGGTAATTTTCTTTCCACTTATACTGATTTCCATTTAGGGCAGACATGTCAAACACAAGGCCCGGGGGCCGGATGCGGCCTGCGAAGTGGTTTCATGTGGCCCGTGAAGCCATCCTGGAAACAGTGAGGGAACGGCCCCTGCTGCCTTGGCCCTGGCCCAGGCCGGCCGGGAGCCAATGTACAATTTTGTGGTGGCCATTTATGCTGAAATGCATTCAGTCTCAGCTCCACACGGCCGTCTGGAAACAGCGAGGAACCGGCCCCTGCTGCGTCGCCCGTGCCCCCTGGGTGCATGCTGGGGAGGGGTCACCCTTTGTGAGGAATGAAGAAATGGACCGTGCCTTGGCGCTTCTTACTATGCCTTATTTATCTTTTGTTTTATTTTTATTTTATTTATTTTATTATTATATTATTATTATTTATTATTATATTTTATTTTATTTTAGCAACAGCAACAGCACTTAGATTTATATACCGCTTCATGGTACTTAATAGCTGGCCTCCAGAAGTTGAGCGTTGCTCCATCACTGGAGGCTTTTAGGAAGAAATTGGATAACCATTTGTCTGATATGGCATAGGGCAGGGGTAGGCAATCTTGGCTCTTTTATGACTTGTGGACTTCAACTCCCAGAATTCCTGAGCCAGCGTGGGGGAAACTATGGCCCCTTCACGACTCGTGGACTTCAACTCCCAGAATTCCTGAGCCAGCATGGGGGAACTATAGTCCCTTCATGACTTGTGGACTTCAACTCCCAGAATTCCTGAGCCAGCCATGCTGAGGGGAAAGGGAGAGGTTTCCAAGCTGAGCCATGCTGGCTCAGGAATTCTGGGAGTTGAAGTCCACGAGTCATGAAGGGGCCAAAGTTTCCCTCATGCTGGCTCAGGAATTCTGGGAGTTGAAGTCCACGAGTCATGAGGGGGCCAAAGTTTCCCTCATGCTGGCTCAGGAATTCTGGGAGCTGAACTCCACGAGTCATAAAAGAACCAAGGTTGCCTCACTCTGGCCTAGGCCTAGGCTGCTTTATGACTCGTGGACTTCAACTCCCAGAATTCCTGAGCCAGCATGGGGAACTATGGCCCCCTCATGACTCATGGACTTCAACTCCCAGAATTCCTGAGCCAGCCATGCTGAGGGGAAAGGGAGAGATTTCCATGCTGCGCCAGGCTGGCTGAGGAATTCTGTGAGTTGAAGTCCACAACTCATGAAGGGGCCAAAGTTTCCCTCATGCTGGCTCAGGAATTCTGGGAGTTGAAGTCCACGAGTCATGAAGGGGCCAAGGTTGCCTACCTCTGGCATAGGGTCTCCTGCCTGAGCAGGGGGTTGGACTAGAAGACCTCCAAGGTCCCTCTCAACTCTATTATTCTGTTCTGTTATCCTGAAATCCTGTGGCACAATCTTCCAGGCCGATAGTCCGTCCTCGTCACATTTGCATTCCAGTCTGGTGATGGTGCGTGCAGAGCTGAGACTGCCTTTCGGTTTTCCGGCTTGCCTTCTAAATCAAGTTTCTAGATCTGAAGGTGAGATGGTGTCAGAGGCCTTAGGAAATCTTGGAAGCTGAAGAAAGGCTTCCACGAAACTGCCTCTGGTCAGGAGTGAGGATGTCAAAGGCCAAAGAAAGATGCTGCAGGCCAAAATTCTCTTGTGCTTGTGGTCTGTGTTGTTCAAGCAGAGATGGAAAGAAAAAGAGGAGATGTTAAACTGAGGCCAGATCCAGGAACCGGTGTGAGACTTAAATCCACAATCCAATGTTAAGTTGCTAGTCCCTAGCAATAGGGAGTCAACCCATTCACCAAAGCACCTGAAGGCAGGACAAGAAGCAACGGATGGAAACTAACCAAGGAGAGAAGCAAGCTGGGATGAAGGAGAAACTTCCTAACAGGGAGGACAACGAACTTCCCTCCAGAAGTTGTGAATGCTCCAATACTGGAAGGAGAGATTAGGCAGCTATTTGTCTGAAATGGTACAGGGTTTCCTGCCTGAGCAGGGGGTTGGACTAGAAGACCTCCAAGGTCCCTTCCAACTCCGTTATTCTGTTACCCAGCCAAGCGGCCACAGCAGTGAGAGCCGTCTCCCGAAAAAGCCAGAAGAAAGCAGAGATTGGAGATAGAGAGAGGGAAGTAAGAAGCTGCTGGAGAGTCGATTCTTGCGCTGGAGACATTGGCCAATCTTCCCTTCCCCTCCTGCGGCTGGCCTGCAGGCTTTGCGCAGCTGTGAATGGTGGCTTTTTCTCTTGAATGCCGATGATGGTTACATTTGGGCGACCTGAATGCTGAGAGGAGAGAGCCGAAAGAGGAGGAGGAGGCTGGCTCCGAAGCCGTTTCGCTTTCAAGTCAGGCGACAGGGAGATTACCCGGGGATGAGTGTCTGGGGCATGTCCGGGCCTGGCTGAGCAAGGGAACAGGTGTGCGGGAGGCGCACCTAGCAGGACCGTGCAGCTCCCTGCAAAGGCCCTCAGGCGGCTCAAGTGCGCCCTCCCAGCCACACGGATCGGGATCTCCAACCGGCTGCAGCTCTGGAGATGCGCTCCGGCCGGGCCCGGCGTTCCCCTCTGGAGAAAGCATCTCACCTGGGTGAACCTCTCCTGCCAGAGATGGACTGACCCGGTCTGTGTACCTCCACTCAGAGCGAGAGCCTCGGCCTTCCGGGGAGGGCTGGAAGGAAGCAGCCACCATGAAGAAAATGTTCTCCTGTTCCAGCCATCCAGTGGCGGTGAGTAACAACGGCTGCGTTCATCGAAGCTCCGTCTGACAGGTGGCAGGTGATCCTCCAGTAATTATACTTGATATGCCTGTAATTATACTTCTAAAAAAGCAGCAAAAACGTCGAACCTGCAGGCGATAGGAACTGGAGTTCTATCTCTTGGTTTGAATCAAGCTGCTAGTCCTTAAGGTGGCGAAGAAAAGCTTGGAAAACCAGAACCGGCACCAAGGCCTGGGAGGAGCCGTATGTTTTGCAGTATTGAGGAGGGGAATTTAAGTGCTTTCCCTAACTTGTTAGGGACTAGCAACCGCTGCTCTGTCTTGGTTGGGATCTCCGTGACTTTATTCCTAGTCAAGTTGCAGTTTTCAACTTTACTTTATAGCAATAGCAACAGCATTTAGACTTATACAGGTAGTCCTCGACTTACGACGAGGCCCAAATTTATGTTGCATTTGTTAAGTGAGTTTTGCCCCACTTTACGACTTTTCTTGCCACCGTTGTTAAGTGAGTTATTCCAGTTGTAAGTTAGTAACACAGTTGTTAAGTGAATCTGGCTTGTCCGTTGATTTTGCTTGTCGGAAAGTTGCAAAAGGGGATCACATGACCTCGGGACACTGCGACCGTCGTACATATGAACCAGTTGCCAAGTGTGTCTGAATTTTGATCATGGGACCACAGGCATGCTACAAAGGTCGTAACTGTGAAAAAAGGTCATAAGTCATTTTTTTTCAGGGCCGTTGTAACTTTGAATGGTCACTAAATGAACTGTGGTAAATTGAGCACTACCTGTTTAATGCTTCGCAGTGCTTTACAGCCCTCTATGAGTGGTTTACAGAGTCAACATATGGCCCCCAACAATCTGGGTCCTCATTTTACTGACCTTGGAAGGACGGAAGGCTGAGTCAACCTTGAGCCGGTCAGAATAGAATAGAATAGAATAGAATAGAATAGAGAATGGGAGAGAATGGAATAGAATAGAATAGAGTAGAATAGAATAGAATAGGATAGAATAGAATAGGAATATGGAATGGAACAGAACAGAATGGAACAGAACAGAACAGAATAGAATATGGAATGGAATGGAATAGAATAGAATAGAATAGAATAGAATAGAATAGAATAGAATAGAATAGAATAGTAGAATAGAAACAGGAAGAATGGAATGGAATGGAAAATAGAATAGACTAGACTAGACTAGACTAGACTAGAATAGAATAGAATAGAATAGAATAGAATAGAAAAAGGAAGAAGAATGGAATGGAATGGAAAATAGAATAGAATAGAATAGAAATAGAAACAGGAAAAATGGAATGGAGAATAGAATAGAATAGAATAGAATAGAATAGAATAGAATAGAATAGAATAGAATAGAATAGAATAGAATAGAATAGAAAAAGGAAGAAGAATGGAATGGAATGGAAAATAGAATAGAATAGAATAGAATAGAATAGAATAGAAATAGAATGGAATGGAATGGAATAGAATAGAATAGTAGAATAGAATAGAATAGAATAGAAACAGGAAAAATGGAATGGAATGGAAAATAGAATGGAAATTAGAATAGAATAGAATAGAATAGAATAGAACAGAATAGAATAGAATAGAATAGAAGAGACATCAGTGTCCAAAGCAGGGATGGGATTTGAGGAAGGGTCTCAATCTCAACCCTCCCCAGTTTTCTTCAGGATAACGGCAAAGAGTGGAATTGCAAGATTCCAAAGCTGCAGCCTTATAATAAAAGTACAGGGGGTCCTCAACTTACAACAGTTCATTTAATGACCGTTTGAGGTTACAATGGCACTGAAAAAAGTGACGTAGGACCGTGTTTCACACTTATGACCATTGTAGCATCCCTGAGGTCACGTGACCACAATCCAGACGCTTGGCAACTGACACATATTTATGACGGTCGTTGTGTCCCGGGGTCCCCTTTTTGTGACCTTCCGACAAGCGAAGCCAGATTCACTTTACAACCGGGTTACTAATTTCACAACTGCAACGATTCACTTAACAACTGTGGCAAGAAAAGTTACAAAACAGGGCAAAACTCACTTAACAAACGTTTCACTTAGCAACATAAATTTGGGGCTCCATTGTGGTCGTAAGTCGAGGACTACGTGTAGCTTTCGTTTTCATGACTCTTTGATTTTCAAGTCTGGTCCGCTTCGCAGGGCTGAAACCTAGGAGTCCATATTAGGGCTCAATGTAGAAGGCACTCTGCACATGGTCAGAGGGACATGACGGCGCACACGTTCTGGTTGAGATATTCCAAGCCTCAGACCCAGCTGAGAGAAGTCATTGGGGAATGACAGAATAACAGAGTTGGAAGGGACCTTGGAGGTCTTCTAGTCCAGCCCCCTGCCCAAGCAGGGGACCCTATATCATTTCAGACACATGAATGTCCAATCTCTTCTTAAAAGCCTCTAGGGATGGAGCATCCACAACTTCTGGTGGCAAGCTGTTCCACTGGTTAATTGTCCTCACTGTTAGAAAGCTTCTCCTTAATTCCAGCTTGCTTCTCTCCTTGATTAGTTTCCACCCATTGCTTCTTGTCTTGCCTTCTGGTGCAGTATATTTAACAATGTAACACAGTTGGAAGGGACCTTGGAGGTCTTCTAGTCCAACCCCTTGTTCAAGCAGGAACAGGTTACAACACAATTGAGCCCAGCTGAGTTATCCTGTCTCCCCCCCCCCCAGTCCTTCTTTTCTCTAGACTGGCCATACCCAAATCCTGCAACCGTTCTTCCTACGTTTTAGCCTCCAGCCCCCTAATCATCCTTGTTGCTCTTCTCTGCACTCGTTCCAGAGTCTCGCCATCTTTTTTATACGATGGTGACCAAAACTGGATGCAGGATTCCAGGAGTGGCCTTATAAAGAAGTTCAGTTCAGTTGTGGAAATTGGGCCATCCATTATATTTTTTCTCTTTTTTTCATGGCTCAGCCTTGCTCTGCCCTGCCCTTGGTTAGATCCGGCCTTGGGGGCTTCAGTGTGCACCACTTCAGCTTCTCCCACAGCGGCACCTGGCCTAGCCAAGCAGGGCCTTGTGGAGATGCTCAGCTCGGCTGCTTCCGTGTGTCCTTCGTTGTGGGTGTTGCCACCCCGACTACGCAACCGAGAGGAAGGGCTCGAACGCAGCCCCTTTGGGAGGGAGGGAGGGAGGGACCCCCGTTGGATTTTCCACGGCAAATTTGGGGCCCTTTCTCCAAGGTCCTTAGGAAAAGACGGTCCTGGCAGCTGAGGGTCTTCATCTGTCCAAGCAGGGTTAGGCAAGAGAGGGCTGGATCCAGAAAGGGAGAAGGTCACAATGCTGGTCCAATGTGAAGATCACAGGACTGGCCGGCTTGGGAGGAGGCTCTCCTGGGGAATGTCTTCCTAAAGGAGGCAAAATCGCTAGACGGAGAAAAAAAAAAGTTTCAGAAATGGAAATAGAGGAAAAACAAGGAAGGCAAGAATCCTACACCTAGAATTCCAAATAAAGAAAGAAATGCCAGTAGGCTAGCTAAATCAGCTTCTTCCTCTAAATGATGTCACTTTTAAAATATGTTTAGGGTGTATTGCGAAGAGGATGGTTGATGGGAGGTCATCTACACTCTCTGCCTGGAAGCTGTTAGACAGGTTCTCCTTGCCTGCTTTCTTTCTTTCTTTCTTTCTTTCTTTCTTTCTTTCTTTCTTTCTTTCTTTCTTTCTTTCTTTCTTGCTTGCTTGCTTGCTTGCTTGCTTCTCTTTTCCTTCCTTTCTTCCTTTTCTCCTTTCTTTCTTTCTTTCTTTTTCTTTCTTTCTTCCTTTTCTCTTTTCTTTCTTTCTGTCTTTCTTTCTCTCTCTTTCTTGTCTTTTCCTTCCTTCCGTTTTTCTTCTTTCTTTCTTTCTTTCTTTCTTTCTTTCTTTCTTTCTTTCTTTCTTTCTTTCTTCCTTTTCTCTTTCTTTCTTTCTTTTCCTTCTTTCTTTCCTTCCTTTTCTCTTTTCTTTCTTTCTTTCTTTTTTTCCTTCTTTCCTTCCTTCCTTTTCTCTTTTCTTTCTTTCTTTCTTTCTTTCTTTCTTTCTTTCTTTCTTTCTTTCTTTCTTTCTTTTTCCTTCCTTCCTTGCTCCCTTCCTTCCTTTCTTTCCATTCTTTCTTTCCTTCTTTCCTTTCTTCCTTTCTTTGTCTCTCTTTTCCTACCTTCCTTCCTTCTTCCTCCACTTTTCCCGAGTTTTAAAATGTGGATATAAAGTGAAAAACTGAAGCTTCACTGGCAGGCTGAACTCCACTTCCTTAAAGAGCCTGAGTGGAGTGATAAAGGGCACTGAATCAAAAGGTTTCCACAACGAAGACATTTTAGGGAGAAGAAAAGAGATCTTCCATTTATTCAGATGACCCTGAGCACATGGTCATTTCCCCGAATGGTTGAGGGGGCTCTGTTGTGCCCTCCGCAAAAAGGGGATTGTCACAGAAACAGTTCAAACCTCTGCACTTGACAAACTAGAATAGAACAGAGCTGGAAGGGACCTTAGAGGTCCTCTAGTCCAGCAACCTATACCGTCTCAGACAGATGACGGTTCAGTCTCTTAAAGATCTCCAGTGATGGAGTGCCCACGATTTCTGGTGGCAAGCAGTTCCACTGGTTGATTGTCCTCACTGTCAGGAAGTTTCTCCTTAATTCCAGGTTGCTCCCCTCTTTGGTCAGTTTCCAACCATTGTTTCTCGTCCTTCCCTCTGGTGCTTTGGTGAACAACCTGACTCCCTCTTCTTTGTGGCAGCCCCTCAAATGCTGGAACGCTGCTATCATGTCTCCCCTATTTCTTCTTTTCTTTAGACTAGCCAAACCCAAGTCCTGCAGCCGTTCTTCGTATGTTTTGGCCTTGTCTCTCAAGTTCATTTCTACAACATACCACTACAGAGGCTGGACAGAGATGCTGCAGCGGCTCCTGCCCCGAGCAGGGGTTGGACTAAATGACCTCCAGGGTCCCTTCCCACTCAATGATTCTATAAGAAGAGGGGCACAGTCAGTGACCTGAGAACTGCTCTCCAAGAAAAAAAGAGCAGATTCCCTTCTGATCTCTTGAGAACCGGATGGCCCGACAGAGGAACCCCGCCTTAGTCAGCTGGCCAACGCCCGGCCTTCCCTCCTCTCAGCATTACTACGGCTGGGGTGAGAGCCGGTTGTGTGTGTGTGTGTGTGTGTGTGTGTGTGTGTGTCCTTGTGCAATCTCCCCTCCGACAACAACAGGGCGTGTGGCTTTGTCGTGCCCTGTCTTCAGAACCGGATTTTTTTTTTTTCTGTCAGGAAGATCCAGCGCCTCTTTCTCGAAACTCATCTGCCTGCCAAAGCAAACGGCGAGGAGGGAAGGCGCAGCCGAGGCTCCAGAGCCGGGATGGGGATCAGGCCTGGGGGGTGTGGGGTGTGGGGTAGGGTCACCGGACAAGGCCGGGTTGGGGCTGAAAAGCCAAAGTGTTCTCACTCCCCAAAGGGCACCATGGACTGGGACTTAAGCACCAACGTCTCAGCTCCTCTGGAATAAAAAATAATAATAAAAAAATAATAAAATAATAAAATAAAATATAATAATAAAATAAAATAAAATAAAATATAATAAAATAAAATAAAGTAAAATAAAAAAATGAAATAATGATAGAACGGAGTATTTGTAGCTCAGAGCTGAACTGTGGGATCCTTGCACTGATGATGTTATCTAGTTGGGTCATGAAACATCTGCAAGAAAACCACCAAGCTCAGAGAGCACCAAGGACCCCATAAAGTAAAAAATAACAAAATAAAATAATAAAATAAAATAACAAAATAGAATAACAAAATAATAAATTAAAATAAAATTAAAATAAAATAATAAAATAAAATTAATTATAATTAAATAATAAATAAAATAAAATAATGATAGAAGAGAGTATTTGTAGCTCAGCGTTGAACGGGCCCTTGCACTGATGATGTTACCTAGTTGGTTCATGAAACGTCTGCAAGAAAACCACCAAGCTCAGAGAGCACCAAGGACCCCATAAAGTAAAAAATAACAAAATAAAATAATAAAATAAAATAACAAAACAGAATAATAAAATAATAAATTAAAATTAAATTAAATTAAAATAAAATAATAAAATAAAATCCTCACCCAGCATGGCTGTCCCTGAGGATTCTGGGAGGCTGGAAATTCTCAAGGTGGGATTCATCCAAGATTCAGCCGGGGGCGGTGAATGTCTCTGCGGCCGAATCCCATCGCAGGGGGTCCTCAACGTACAGCTATTCCTTTAGCAACTGTTCAAAGTTACCACAGCAGTGAAAAAAGTGACTGGCAACTTCCAACAAGCAAAGCCAATGGGGGAAGCTGGACTCGCTTAATGATTGTGTGCTTCACTTAACAGCTGCAGTGGTTTGCTTAACAACCATGGCAAAAAAGGTCATAAATTTGGGCGTGACTCGCTTAACAACTGCTTTGCTTAGCGACAGATATTATGATCCCAATTATGGTCGTAAGTTAAGGACTACCTGTATTTCTGATTTTAAAGAACAACCTGCTGCTGCCGCCTCAGGGTCATTATGGAGGTTTTTAAGAAGAGACTGGACAGCCACTTGTCTGAAATGGTATAGGATGTCCTGCTACGACAGGGGGTTGGACTAGAGGACCTCCAAAGTCCCTTCCGACTCTATTATTCTGTTATTTTACAACCAAAATTGAGCCCAAAATTTCTGTTGCTAATTGAGACATTTGTTATGTGAGGTTTGCCCTGTTTTACGATCTTCCTTTGCACAGTTGTTAAGTGAATCACTGCAGTTGTAAGTTAGTAACATGGTTGTTAAATGAATCAAGCTTCCAGTATTGAGTTTGCTGGTCAGAAGGTCGCAAAACAGGATCACGTGACCCTGGGACACTGAAACCGTCATAAATATGAGTCGCCAAGTGCCCAAATTTTGATCGTGTGACTCTGGGGACGCTGCAACAGTCTTAAGTGTGAAAAACGGTCCTAAGTCACTTTTTCCCATGGTGTTGTAACTTCGGTCACTAAATGAACCGTTGTAAGTCAAGGACTACCTGTATTCCATTTCTTTGCTGAGAAGAAATGTCGGGGCAGAGAGACACAAATTATTTTGCCCAGCTGTAATATATCTAAAGTCATCAACTATGGTTTCACTTTTACCCATTTGAACACATTTTACAGGGGGTGTTATAAAACATGGTTTGTCCTTAACCATAAATTACTATGTCAGAATTCAAGATCCCAGTTTATTTACTGGTTGCTTAAGTCCCTTCTAGTCTCTGTTCCCACAACCAGCTTTGTTGCAAAGCCTGCTTCCCACTCAATGGTCAGCCGTGTGCGGCAGCTGCAAAAAAAGCCAACACAGTGCTGGGCTGCATTAACAGAGGGATAGAATCAAGATCACGTGAAGTATTAATACCACTTTACAATGTCTTGGTAAGGCAATACTTGAAATACTGCATCCAGTTTTGGTCACCACGATATAAAAAAGATGTTGAGACTCTAGAAAGAGTACAGAGAAGAGCAACAAAGATGATTAGGGGACTGGAGGCTAAAACATACAAGGAACAGTTGCAGGAATTGGGTATGTCTAGTTTAACGAAGAGAAGGACGAGGGGGGACAGGATAGCAGTGTTCCAATATCTCAGGGGCTGCCCCAAAGAAGAGGAAGTCAAGCTATTCTCCAAAGCGCCTGAAGGCAGGACAAGAAGCAACGGATGGAAACTAACCAAGGAGAGAAGCAACCTAGAACTAAGGAGAAACTTCCTGACAGTTAGAACAATTAACCAGTGGAACAACCTGCCTCCAGAAGTGGTGAATGCTCCAACACTGGAAGTTTTTAAGAAGAGACTGGATAGCTATTTGTCTGAAATGGTATAGGGTTTCCTGCCTGAGCAGGGGGTTGGACTAGATGACCTCCAAGGTCCCTTCCAACTCTGTTCTGAGTTCTGTATTCTCTTGCCTTCCAGGTCGAAAGCTGGAACAAGCACGACCAGAAGCTGCTTGACGCCGTTGAGAAAGGGGACGTGACCCGGACATCCCTTTTTGCGTCAAGGAAAACAGCCCACCCCACCAAGCTCAACGCCCTGGGTCAATCTGCGTACGTAAGTTTTTCCCCTTGGCCTTCAAGAGGGACAGTATGGCTGAAGGGCAGCGGCCACTTCCTGAGCATTGCCTTAGCTACAATTGACTGAATCTGGGGCTATATGGTTGTGGGAACTCGGCCCTTGGCTCAGAAGAGTGTCTGTAGAGATCATCCCATTCAAGAATGTGGCTTAGAGGCAGTCCTCAAGCTTCGACCATCATGCAGCCTGCCCATAATAGTCCTGAATATCATAAAATGGGTCAGTTACTTGTCCAACCCAAATTTATTGCCCCCCCTTTTTTTTTGCAGAAATCATCACAGTTGTTAAGTTTAATGACCACAACCTTCACTAAGTGGTGGTTAAACAAATCCTGTGCTCATGGAGTGAACCAATGTCACTCTATGGGTGTGGTTTTGCCCAAAACTGGAAGTAAACAATTTTTTTTGCAAAACCACTGTAAAGTGTGGTCACATGACCCCAGAATCCTGCAAAGAGTCATCAATGCAACCTGGTTGATAAGTTCCCAAAGTTAACCAATGTAACCATGTAAGTGCAGTTGGATCTGGATCGTAAGAATCCCCCCCCCCCCGGTAGGTTCATCAGAACTTCACCCATTCGCTAAGTCACCGGTCGTAAGTTGAGTCTTCATCGGGGACAGAAGTTGTCACCCTGAACTTAGGGGCAAGCCAAGTGGCATAGTTCCAATCTAAGAATCATGGCTTGTTAGAGGACTTGGGGGCTATTAAACATAACACAGTCTACCATTGCATTCTTAACCAAGTTTGGCACAGACAATTACATTAGTAAATGATTACCGTACAGATAGTCCTTGATTTACAACCATTCCTTCAGAGTTACAATAGTACCAGGATCATGTGATCGCCATATGTGATCTTCCCGGCTTCCGACAAGTCACATCAATGGGGGAAAATTGGATCGCTTAACAAACGCGCGATTCATTTCACCACTGCAGTGATTCATTTAACAGCTACGTTGTAAATACGTTGTAAAATCAGGCACGGTTGACTTAATAACCGCCTTGCCTAGCAACAGAAATTTTGAGCTCAGTCGTGTGGTCACAAATCGTCTATTTTTGTGCACTCGCTGTACATCCTGGGTGGAGGAATTTCTTTCAAGGACAGGATGTAAATTCCTACTTGTGTAAAACTTGGTTTGCCACATGTATGTGGCTTAAAGTAAAACCTTGCCTAAGAAGTCTTCTGGATGCTGTTTTTGGAGCTGGATCAGGAGAGACCAAGAAATAGCCAAGAGTGGGGTGTAGGACAATTTGCCACGGCCACCTCGCCACGGGAGTGTGGGACAATTCAACGCTATATTAATCATTTCATTCAGATGCTTTTATTATTGACTACGTTTTCGCCAATATTATTGTAAATCTTCTGTGGAATTCCTAGCCCAGTGGTGGTGAACCTACGGCACGGGTGCCAGAGGCGGCACTCAGAGCCCTCTCTGTGGGCACGCGCCCCGTCGCCCCAGTCCTAGGCCTTCAGCTGAGTTTTATAAAACCTTTTCGCTTTAGGCCTCTGCCACCATTTGCAAAAAAAAAAAGGTTCAATCAATCAGTCAATTTCAACTTCTTGCGGGGAAAAAAAGATCTTGCAAAGTTGGAATTGATTGATTGAACTTTTTAGTCCCACCCAGTCTGCCGTTACCACCGCAGCCACGCCCAGCCAATGGGCCACACCCACACAATGGGCCACACCCACACAATGGGCCACACCCACCTGGCACTCGAAGATGCACAAGTGGGTTTTGTGTTGCAGTTTGGGCACTCAGTCTCTAAAAGGTTCGCCATCACTGTCCTAGCCTTTGCTGGTGGGAAATTCTGCTTTCCCCCCTTTATTTATGAGCCATGATAGTGCATGGCTCATAAATAATGTGGTATTGCAAGCTCACTTTGCCCACTGCCAGCAGTTCGATCCTGATCGGCTCCAGGTTGACTTAGCCTTCCGTCCTTCCGAGGTCGGTAAAATGAGGACCCAGATTGTTGGGGGCAAGAGGCTGTAAACCACTTAGCGAAGGCTGTGAAGCACTTTGACATCTAAGTGTTGTTGCTGTTATTGCAGGTTCCATGTGGCAGCTTCCAAGGGACTCACGGAGTGCCTTACCATCCTGCTCAGCCATGGGGCCAACGTCAACGATAAGAACGAGGACGGTGGGTACCAGCCCAAAGACCCCCTCCCCTTTTCCACAGGGCGTTTGCACAAAGGGGGTGGTTGGGTTTTGCAGACCAGAGTCATGTTTGAGGGACATCTGGCTGGTAAGAGAAGATCATGAGAAGACACATTTCAACAGCCCCCCCCCTTTCTCTCCATTGCTTTGACGTCCTGAGGCTCCTGGGGTGGGCAATTAATTTTTCCCAAGGGGCCACATGAGAAACTAAGACTGCATTAGTAGAGGGGCAGAATCAGCATCACGTGAAGTGTTAATACCACTTTACAATGCCTTGGTAAGGCCATGCTTGGAATACTGCGTCCAGTTTTGGTCACCACGATGTAAAAAAGATGTTGAAAAGGTGCAGAGAAGAGCAACAGAGATGATTAGAAGTCTGGTGGCTAAAACATATGATATAAGAACGGTTGCAGGAATTGGGCATGGCCACTCTAGAGAAAAGAAGGACGAGGGGTGACATGATAGCCGTCTTCCATTATTTGAGGGGCTGCCATAAAGAAGAGGGGGGGGGGTGTCAACTTATTTTCCAAAGCATCAGAAGTCACAACAAGAAACAATGGATGGAAACGAATCAAGGAGAGAAGCAACCTGGAATTAAGGAGAAACTTCCTGACAATGAGAACAATTAACCAGTGGAACTGCTTGCCACCAGAGGTTGTGGATGCTTCATCACTGGAGGTTTTTAACAAGAGACTGGACAGCCCTTTGTCTGGAATGTTATAGGGTTTCCTGCCAGAGCAGGGGGTTGGACTAGATGACCTCCAAGGTCCCTTCCAGCTCTGTTATTCTGACACTGTTGTGGATGTCCAAATCAACAGTCCTCCACAGCAAGTTGTGAAGGTGTGTAGGCACGCATGCACGTACATAAATTAAAAACAAAAAGAGCAGTTGCCTTCAAAATAAGCAGTTGCATTGGGTGCATGGCACGATTTAATCAATTTACATTTGATTTTTAATTTCCGATCGACCTCAGGCTCCGGGACCATAAAATGCCTAGGCCTGAGCTAACATGTCCACAAGGTCAGGGATCAATTGGTTGACAATGACTGGAGTCACACCACAGTGTAGACTAGGCTAACATTTGTTTGGTCCTTAAGACTTAGTGTGTTGTGAGAACTCAGTCCCTGGCCTACACTTTTGAATTATTTAGACATAGATAGCCCTTGATTTACACAACTGAGCCTGACATTTTGATCTTAAGTTGTTGCGGTCACGAAGTGGGTCAACTGTTTTTACAATGGTCATTAAGTGAGTCACCACAGTCATTAGGCAAATCCAGCATTTCCAATGTAGGCAGTCCTTGATTTACGACCATAATTGACCTCTAAATTTCTGTTGATAAGCGAGTTGTTAAGTGAGTTTGGGCCCATTTTACGACCTTCCGTGCCACAGTTGTTACGCAAATCACTGCAGTTGTTAAGTCAGCAACCCGCTTGTTAAGTGAATCTGGCTTCGCCGTTGACTTCGTTTGTCAGAAGGTCGCAAAAGGGGATCACGCGACTGGGGGACACTGCGACCGTCATAACTATGAGTCAGTTGCCAAACGTCCGAATTTCCATCACGTGATCATGGGGCTGAGGCAATGGCCATAAGTGGGAAAAACGGTCAGTGTCGTAACTTCTAACAGTCACTAAATGAAAAGTTGTGAGTCGAGGACTACCCGTAGGCATTTTTTGCCATTTTTCTGCCCCCCAGCTGCAGAATCCCAGTCACGTTACCACAGGATGCTGCAACTGGTTGCAAGTGCAAACCAGAACTGCAAGTGCCCAAAATGTGATCATGTGACCTAGGTAGATGCGGCAGTTGTAACTTTGAAGACCGTTGTAAGTAGCTTTTCTGAAGTCCGTCGTAACTTCAAACAGTTATTAAGCAACTGGTCATTAAGGGAGGATTACCTTATCTATTTTTTTTTAGATACCGTGTTCTGTTAACCCGGGGTTATAATTAAATATGGTTTACCGGTGCATCCCTCAAGTATCCTGGAAAGCAGAAGACCTGATATATGGGCAAATGGACCAAAAATAGGAAGATGGCGGCCGTGAGGGCGTCATCAAGGCCCCGCCTCTTTTGCATAGAGTGCGCCTACCAAGGGGCGGGGCTTTGATGGTGCAGTCACGGCCTGCTGGTGATATTTGGCTCCCCACCAAATATGCTCCTGGCCCAGCAAATTACTCTGGGTAGGCTGGTGATAGGCATGTGCATGTGTGTTTGTGTGTGTATATGTAGGACATATAGTCACAGTACATGTAATCCTCCACTTATGTCTGCAATCGGGACCAGAATTTCCATTCCTCAACAAAATGGTTATTAAGTGAATCACACCTGACTTTTATAATCTTTTTGGTCCTGGTTGTTAAGTGAATCACACAGTCATTAAGCGAATTGAGGTTTCCCCCGTCGACTTGACTTCTCAGAAGCTGGCTGAGAAGGTTGCAAATGGCAATCACACAACCCCCGGGATGCTGCAGGCGTCGTAAATACGATGGCCGTGGGCCAGGCTTTTGATCATGTGACCACAGGGATGCTGGGACAGTCGTAAGTGTGAAGTGTGAGTAAGTGACTTTTTTTCAGTGCCTTTGTAACTTGGAACCATTGCTAAACAGAGAGTTGTAAATTGAGGATAAGCTGCACAAGCAAATTTGCAAGCGCCAGTTAGTGACTGATGGACGAAATCAATTTTAACCACGATTGAGCAAATCCTCGACTTACACAAATTCATTTAGTGACCGTCCAAAGTTACGACGGCACTGAAAAGAGTGACTTATGAGGGTTTTTCCCACTTACGACCATGCAATATCCCCATGATCATGTGAGAAATTCAAACACTCAGCAACTGGTTCATATTTATGACGTTCACAGGGTCCTGGGATCACGTGATCCCCTTGTGCGGCCTTCTGACAACTGAAGACAATGGAGGAAGCCAAATTCATTTCACAACCGGGTTACTAACTTATCATCTGCAGTGATTCACTGAACGACTGTGGCAAGGACATTCGTAAAATGGGGCAAAACTCACTTAGCAAAGGTCTCACTTAGCAACAGAAATTTTGGGCTCCATTGTGGTCGTAAGTCGAGGACTACCTGTAAATATTTCACCCCAATACAAGCTGATATTTATCAAGAGGGAAGCAAATGGGGACCAGGGGCCAAGGCTAAGGAACCCTGGTTGGGGATGCGCTCCTCCTTCAGTTGTGGGTGCTCCAATGTTGTTGTTGTTGTTGTTAATTGCGAAGCCGTGTCCGACCCATCGCGACCCCCATGGACAACGTTCCTCCAGGTCTTCCTGTCCTCTACCATCTCCAATATTGGAAGGTTTTGAAGGACAAATTAGACAACCATTTGTGTGAAATGGTCTAGGGCAGGGGTGTCCAACTTGCGACGTCACATGATGTATCGTGACTTTTTTTCCATCGCTGGCAATGGGGTGGGCGCGATTTTGCCATGAAGCATCCGGCCCACCGGCCAGCAGTTTGACACTCCTGGTCTAGGGCAGACATGTCAAACCCAAGGCCCGGGGGCCGGATGCGGCCCGCGAAGTGGTTTCATGTGGCCCGTGAAGCCGTCCTGGAAACAGTGAGGGAACGGCCCCCGCTGCCTTGACCCTGGCCCAGGCCGGCCGGGAGCCAATGTACAATTTTGTGGTGGCCATCTATGCTGAAACGCATTCAGTCTTAGCTCCACAAGGCCGTCTGGAAACAACGAGGGTCCAGCCCCTGCCGTGTCGCCCCCGCTCCCTGGGTGCATGCTGGGGAGGGGTCACCCTTTGTGAGGAATGAAGAAATGGACCATCGCCTGGAAGTGGCCAGCAAATGGCCCTTGCCTACTTCACATATCCGGCTTGATGGACTCTGCCCCGGTCCCACCCGCTTCTGCCAGAGACCCTCAGACCTGTCCCACTCCTGCCCAGACCCCCACAGGCACCCTTGATGGGAACGATGTAGAGCTGGCCACGCCCACCCAGTAGGCCACACCCACTCCATCCACGCCCACCCAGTAGGCCGCACCCACCCTGGCCACACACACACACACACACACCCCGAGGGCAACCGCAATGCTGATGCAGCCCTCAGTGAAATTGAGTTTGACACCCCCTGCTCTAGGGTCTCCTGCTTGAGCAAGGGTTGGACTACAAGACCTCTGAGGTCCCTTCCCTCCCTCTTATTCTATGGTTTATGTTTTTGCAGGCAGCACAGCTCTGCACCTAGCCACCATCGCTTGCCAGCCCCAGTGCGTGAAGGTCCTCCTCCAGGTAAAAGACTGCTTCTCCGTTGGGACCCCTTTGAGGCCCATTCACAGCATCCTAAAGCTAAAGGCACCTCTGAGCACGTGCAGGGACATGGCAGCTTGGTGGGTTTTAGAAGGTTTAGCCCGGGGGGGGGGGAGAGGGAGGTTGTTGCTACCCTTTGGGAATTTTTGTGTGGTTTCTGCCCTGTTCCTCTGGTAAAATGTCCCCCCTCCCCACCATTGAGAGGGCTCTGAGCTTGTTTTCAAGGAGGAGGAGAAGGGGAAAAGGACTATGGGGTCCTTGGTGCTCTCTGAGTTGGGTGGTTTTCTTGCAGACGTTTCATGACCCAACTAGGTAACATCATCCATGCTAGAAGGGAGTACAGTTTACAGGAAGGAGGAGGAGGAGGAGAGGAAGGACAGTGGCGTCCTTGGTGCTCTCTGAGCCTGGTGGTTTTCTTACAGACATTTCATGACCCAACTAGGTAACATCATCAGTGCTTTAAGAGAATGGGGTTTTCCGGGGGGGGGAGGAGGAGGAGGAGAAGGAAAAGTTTGGGGGTCACTTTTTTCAGGGCCGTTGTAACTTTGGATGATCACTAAATGAACTGTCGTGGACTACCTGTAATGGAAAAGGAATACAAACAGTACATTTATTTATTTGAATTTATTAGCTTTATTTGTTTTGGGGGTGTCCACTGGTTGCCCATAAGAAAGAGGCAGAATGTGGATGCCATCTTTTTCGATGGCATCCACATTCAAGTCTGGGCAGTTTGGATGAGTGTCAAGTAATTAGGCGTTAATTAGTCCCCTCGCTGTGAAAACTCATCTTCTTGATTCAAGACCTAACTGGAAAACAGTGATGCCTATCTCGTGGGAATTAATAATAAATAAACTTAAAAGGAAGATTGCTACTTTTAATTGCACTAAATTCTATAATTGCCGGATAGTCAGCGCTGGAAGGGTGAGAACCATCTAATGCAGCAAATCCCATTTTAGAGCCTACACAAACTCACAACCAGCATGAATCTGCCTGGGCTGCATGGAGGACAAACCTGAGATCTCATCCTTGTGTCTTAGAACACACAACACAAGGAGGGGGGATTGAGGTGAGGAGAGTCAATAAAGGAGCGACTGAGACAGACCCTTAGCAAAGCAGGAACTGTTGTGATATGAACACTCTCGCCCTGCGCAGCTGGCTAAGCCCACCAGGATGTCATTCCCACAACATGCTGTTGGAAGAAAAATCAGACCCTGTTCCAAGCCTTGATAAGATCACACTTTGAAATACGGCATCCATTTTTGGTCACCACAATGTAAATAAGATGTTGAGACTCTAGAAAGAGTGCAGAGAAGAGCAAGAAAGATGATCAGGGGACTGGAGGCTAAAACATATAAAAAACAGTTGCTGGAATTGGGTAGGTCTAGTTTAACGAAGAGAAGGATGAGGGGGGACAGGATAGCAGCCTTCCAATATCTCAGGGGCTGCCCCAAAGAGGAGGGAGTCAAGCTATTTTCCAAAGCGCCTGAAGGCAAGACAAGAAGCAACGGATGGAAACTAATCCAGGAGAGAAGCAACCTAAAACTAAGGAGAAATTTCCTGACAGTTAGAACAATTAACCAGCGGAACAACCTGCCTCCAGAAGCAGTGAATGCTCCAACACTGGAAATTTTCAAGAAGAGACTGGACAGCCATTTGTCTGAAATGGTGTAGGGTTTCCTGCCTGAGCAGGGGGTTGGACTAGATGACCTCCAAGGTCCCTTCCAACTCCTTTGTTTCAATTCTAATTGTACTGCCCAGATTTTCCAGCCCCAAATAAATAAACGAATGAATGAATCGGGCTGGGCAGCTGCGGAGGAATCCTGCTGCTTGCAGAGCCCGGTTTTGCAAGAGTCCCCAGGGGCAGTTTCAATCCAGCCGTGGTGGCAGAAGCACCCGGAGCCAGCTGGTTGCACAAGGTTGTGCTGGGAACGTTCAGGCTTGCCTGCTGGCCTGTGTGGCCACATTCCTGAGCTGACAAAGCTATCCGGGTCTCATAAAAATCACCAGTTTCCTCCCAGGGAACCCCTTCTGACGACAGGTGCAAAGCAGGGGGTGCATGGAGCATTTTTCATCGTGTCACAGCTGCAGCTTCTCCTGCGTCTACATCTATTTCCCCCCCCCTCTTTTCCTATTTGTTTCTTAATTTGTCTTGCAAGATTATGTCCAGAGATTACTGCATGGAGAGTTTGCCTTAAACTCTTGGGTAAAAAGAGTTTTATCTTTACTTGGGTAAAGATCTGGTTAAAGAACAGACCAAATCCAAAAGATTTTTTTTTTCTGGAGGCAACTGGACTGTCTTGTTTTTTCTTTGAAGACGTTTCGCTTCTCCTCCAAGAAGCTTCTTCAGCTCTGACCGGATGGTGGGGGAATGGAAGGATTTATACTCCTTGCAGACAGCTGGTCATTTGCCTTCTTTTTAGAGAGTCGTTGAGGCCACTTGGAGGTTGATCTGTGTTCTCAAGGTCACCCGGTTGGTGCGTGTGATAACTCTATAGAGCAGTGGTTCTCAACCTTTCTAATGCCGCGACCGCATAATACAGTTCCCCATGTTGTGGTGACCCCCAACCACTTATACATCACCGGGTGCCAGGGGCGTGGCCAAAGAAAAGGGGGGAAAATGGTGGACAGCCTTGTTTGGCGACCCCTGTGAAATGGTCGTTCGACCCCAAATGGGGTCCCGACCCACAGGTGGAGAACCACTGCTATAGATAGATAGTGTAAGGGCCCACCCCACTTTACATCTTAAGAAGACAGAACTCTTGGAATATCTTTTCCAACAGGCATCTTTATTAAGAAGAAATGATTGTAGGCGTTCTAGACAGGACCTGGGGCCCAAGCCCTACGGTTCAAGGTTTTAAGGGGTCCCCAGCAGCCCCACCCCACCATCTTTCCAGCGACAATCCCAGGCATTACATTTCCACCCCCTTTTTCCTCACGGCCGGCGGAAGGGAGACTTCAGAGAGGAGTAGATGAAAGGTGATGGCCATATTGTTATGGTCAGTCCTTTTGGTGAGATCCACATTCAGTCCCTTCAAAGTTTTAACGAAAGAAGTGAGGGCCATAAAACCCCTTTGTTCACCCCCCTTCCCTTCATCGTATGACAGAATCCAGAGAGGGCAGAAATGGGGTTTTCCATAGTCGACAATTAGAAATGAAATATAATTGGATTCTGATAGATAGTTATGACCACATCTGGGATCAGGCTTAGTTAATTAGAGTTAAGGTTAAGGTCAGCTAGTTAATGAGCTCTAGTGAACTAGAGTTAGTTAATCAGCTCTATTCTGATTCTGATTTAAGTGAATCCCATCTGATTTTATGACCTTCTGGCCATGGTTGTTAAGTAAATCATATGGACATTCAAGGAATCCAGCTTCCCTTGTTGACCTAAGCAGGAAAAACCAAAGGCACAAATACAGTGAGTTTTGCCCCATTTTGTGACTTTTCTTGCCACATTCGTTAAGTGAATCACTGCAGTTGTTAAATTAGTCACATGGTTGTTCAGTGAATCTGGTTTCCCCATGGACTTTGCTTGTCAGGTCACAAAAGGGGGTCGCGTGACCCCGGGACGTTGAAACCGTCATAACGTGGAGTCCATTGCCGAGCGTCCAAATTTTGGTCACGTGACCGATGGGGATGCTGTAACGGTCGTAAGTGTGAAAAACGGTCATAAGTCACTGTTTTTCAGTGCTGTTGTAACTTCGAACGGTCACTAAACAAAAAGCTATAAGGTGAGGACTACCTGTAGGCATTTTTTGCCGTTTTCGTGCAAATCCCAGTCACGTGACCACAAGATGCTGCAACTGGTTGTAACTGCAAGCCAGATGCAAGTGCCCAAAACGCGATCATGTGACCTGGATAAGTGTGGCTGTTGTAACTTGGAGGATGGTTGTAAGTAGGTTTTTTTGAAGCCTTTTGTAACTTCAAGTGGACATTAAACAAATAGTCATTAAGTGAAGACTAACAGGGTCTTTTTTTAGCTCCTGTGTTTCCCATAACCCTCGGTTATAGTTAAACATGGTTTGCAAATGAAAACCCTCAAGTACCCTGGAAAGCAAAAGACCTGATATGTGGGCAAAGGGAACAAAAATAGGAAGATGGTGGCCACCAAAGCATACAACCTTTTGCATACAACCTATTTTCCAGAGCACCTGAAGGCAGGAAAAAAAAACAACAACAGATGGAAACTAATGAAGGAGAGAAGCAACTTAGAACTAAGGAGAAATTTCCTGACAGTGAGGACAATTAATCAGTGGAACAGCTTGCCACCAGAAGTTGTGGGTGCTCCATCACTGCAGGCTTTTCAAGAAATGATCGGACAGCCATTTGTCTGAAATGGTATAGGGCAGGAGTCCCCAATTCCCAGTCCGTGGACTGGTACCGGGCTATGGCATGCCAGCAACCGGTCCACACAAACAAGCAAAGCCCCATCCGCGGGATGCAGGCAGCACACAAAACCACCACCTGTCTGGTCCGTGGAAAAACCTCTCTCCGTGGAACCGGTCCCTGGTACCCAAAAGGTTGGGGACCTCTGGTATCAGGTCTTCTGCCTGAACGGGGGGTTGGACTAGATGACCTTCTGAGGTCCTTTCCAACTCTGTTATTCTGTTAACTTTCACATGCCATCTTGTGGACGGGTTTCAGATACCTGATGCAGTTTAGCTGCAAGAGAATTGGTCCTGCGGAGAAAAAAAAAAATCTAGGATAGGATTGGGAGACTGGGAGGAATTGGGTAGGTCTAGTCTAGAAAAAAAGGAGGGCTAGGGGATGACAGGATAGCCAATGATTCTAACATTTGAAGAGACCCCCAACTCTGTTTTTCTGGCACCTCTGCAGGAATCGTATTTAGAGAAAATCCCCAAGTGGAAAAATAGAGTATTATTTTTGTTTGGCAGCGACTAATTTCACAACTTTGTGGGATGAGTTTAATTGCAGGGGGAAAAAATCAGTCTTATGTTTCATGTTATACTGTTGCTAATTTTTTTTATTAAAAGCTATTAGAACACAGGACATTAGACATGTATTACGGTAAGGAGTATACTGTCCTTTTTTCTCGCAGCACGGAGCAAATGAAGACTGTGTGGATGGAGAGAACCGTACACCTCTACATTGGGCTGGTGAGTCTTAGGATTCTGCGAACTTCTATGGCTTTTTCCTCCCAAATTAAACATTTCTTCCAAGGGCAACTGCTTTGGCATAGGAACAGCACAATCACATAAGAGAAGGGGCTGTTCCTGCTTTTTAAACAGCCCGTTGATAATCTGCAGTTCTGCACACCTTAGCAGAACTTAAACATGAATAATAAGTTTTTCCAGGCATCCTACCAAGTCGCCAGACTTGCATCTAGTTCTTAGATCCCTCCATGAGGACAGAAGCGGCTGTTTCTTTACTATAAAAAAGACTCTAGAACAGCGGTTCTCAACCTGTGGGTCGCGACCCCATTTGGGGTCGAACGACCATTTCACGGGGGTCGCCAAAGTCCTGGAGTTTTTCCTCGTAAAATCCTCGTGAAACACAGTCCGGCATTTTTTGTTTTGTTTTGTTTTTTTCCTCTTTTTCTTGAGCTATGCTACTCCCTCTTATTCTATTGGCTTTTGAAAGCCAATAGAATAGACTCTCTTCAAGAGAGTCTATTCTACTGGCGTTTGAAAGCCAATATTCTATTCAATAAGTCTATTCTATTGGCGGTGCCCCCTCGGCTGCCCGCCGTGCGCTCCAGCCGCAGGAGAGGAGGTGGAGCGTGCGCGCCAGAGAGAGAAAAATAAAAAGTGAGAGAGAGAATGAGAGGGAGCAAACCCCGCCCCTCCTGCCCCCACCCGCAGGGAAATACAGGTAGTCCTCGACTTACGACCACCTGGTTGGGGGTCGCGGCATTAGGAAGGTTGAGAACCACGGCTCTAGAAAGTGTGCAGAAAAGAGCAACAAAACGTATCAGAGGGCTGGCAGCTACTTAGGTTGCAGGAATTGGGTATGTCTAGTCTAGTGTAAAGAGGACCAATATTTGAGGGGCTAGCACAGAGAAGAGAGGGTCAGCCTATTCTCCAAAGCAGCAGAAGGACAAGAAACAATGAATGGAAACTAATCAAGGAGAAAAGCAACCTAAATTTAAGGAGAAAGGTCCTCACAGTGAGAACAATTAACCAATGGAACAGTTTGCCACCAGAAGTTGTGGGTGCTCCGTCACTGGAGGCTTTTAAGAAGAGACTCTGGTATAGGGTCTCCTGCTTGAGCAGGGGGTTGGAACTAGAACACCTCCAAGGTTCCTTCCAACTGTGTTATTCTATTATTCTTGGGGGGTGTTATTTGAATTCTCCAATGAACCTCCAGCTTTGGGATTCCCAGGTGGTCTCCCATCCCATTCAAGCCCTAACCAACTTAGATCCTTCTTTGCTTCCAGTACCATCCAGGCTCTGCTCTCTGCTCAGATTCATTAGGGTTGCAGCCTCCGAGTAACTTCCCCTGAGAATGCTTGGTTCTCTCAATTTCATAATTGTATTTTATCAGGGAACACGATCTAGTCAGTTTCACAACATCAAGTTGTGTGGTTGGGAACTCCAGGGCTATGTTACTTTGTTTTTATGCAAGTGGCCACCCCTTTCCTCCAGCTGTGACGCTCAAGGAAAATTAGTATCATATCCTGCAAATACATTGATAGTATGCTAGAGCTCTGATTGGCCCATAAAATTTGCTATAAAAGCAGTCAAGAAAAGGGATGGATTTTTAAAAGTAGCATCAGGACAGGCTGGAACAAGTCCTGGTGTCTTTCGAGGGTGTGTGAGGCTTGCATAGATCCATCTCCTGCTGAAGGAGGCTGGTCAGCTAACAGGTAAACCAAGCTTTGCTTACCTTTTCAAACAGGTGAGCACCAATTGCTTAGCTCTAAAGTTTTGCAGACATGTTGGCAAAAGCCTCCCACAGAATTTGCAAAGAGAGCAAAAAATAAAAAAAAATTACTGATGCAGCTTTGAGCTTCCATCATAAATCCACTTAATTGCCTCGCTATAATTTCATGCTTGGTTTTAAGGAAATGCAGATGTTAAATTACATCACTTGCATCTTTAATCGCCTGTGAGCAGAATCAGGAGAATTCTTGCAGCAGAACTATTTGCAGTATTTTAGAACTATTTATTTACAGTAGTTATTATTTTTCGTTGCTGCAATTTTTTTCTGCGCCTTCAACTCACGGAGTCCAGCCAGTTGTTTTAAAACTACTCATGGTTTCCCACATTGCACTAAGCTATGGTTTATTTAACTACAGTTTCTTTTAAAGCTGTAGTCACAAACCACACTGGCTGAGCTGACATACCTTGCTAAACAAGCAAACCATATTGTGACTTTAGCCCAGGGTTGCAAAACTTTTTTTCCCAGATTCTTACTGGCATGTCTGGGGAGACACAAAGGGTGAGAAAACGAAGGCCTGGACAAATCCTGCATTTGATTTACATTTAATCATAAACCACATACATTAAATTAGTTAAACCTGGGAGATTAATTATTCAATTGCTCTGCTTCTGATATTAAAAATGGTAGCAGAAGGTTGTGTACCAAACCTGTGTAGCTGTTCTGAGTTTTTCTTGTGAACTAATTGTGCTGGGAGAATTAATTGTAATTTTGTTATGGTTTTATCTTAGTTTAATATTTTAGATAGATAGATGATGGACAACGCTATCAGAGATAAAATATTAAAATAAAGGTAAAACCATATGATATATATATATATATTATAAAATTTGGATTGCTAACAAAGAATTAAGGGAGAATGGGATAGCTATTTCGAGTTTCTTAACTCTCTTCAGCCAAACTTACCCTTCTGAGATTTGAGCCTATATTTGTTTTCGTAGATTTTCATGGGTATAGGTATACAGGTCTTGGTGTATTCGGGTCTTGTCCTGTGTAAGATTGAGAGTATCTTGGCGAAATGTTGCCAAGATACTCTCAATCTTACACGGGACAAGACCCGAATACACCAAGACCTGCATATATATATATATCCAAGACCTGCATATATATATATATATATATATATATATATATATATATATATATATCCTTAATATCATTAAAATGCGAATCCTGGGCATACACATGTCAATAAAAATATAGAAAACCGAACCCCAGGATAAAAATAAACAGGACCGTTTAATATAAATAAGCCTGTAAATAAATGAGTTACTGAGCTTTCGTCAGCCAAACTACTGACGTCACCAGAGTTAGCAGAGAAAGGCAACTATATAGGCAAGCTCCCTAATCATCTAGCATTCTAACTCTCCTGTTCTTTCCATCTATAAAGAAATATATATTTCTTTATTAGCCAAGTGTGGTTGGACACACAAGGAAGTATATGTACTTTGTTGCTTGTATCTTACAATTTATATGGTATATGTACATATGTACAATATATCTATGTACAATATATATCGCTTTATTTAAATACATTTGTATAACAGTGACTGCATGACCTCTGTAGATGCCATATGCTAAATAAATTAAAAGTGTGCTGGGAGAGTGAGTTGAAAAGAAAGATGGAAAGAACATGAGGGTTACAAATGGAATACAAGCTAGATGAGTGGGATGTAAGCTTAATAAATAAAGTTCATTAACGCCCATCTCACGTAAAATCCCATGAATGAAGACAGAAGGTTGAAGCCTCTTGATGTTGGAAGCTGAAATTAAGGACAACCATTTTCCTACAGATTGCATGGAGACTTACTTTTGAGTAAGTGTGTGTTTGCTAGTGATACATTCCTTCTTTATTTTTCAAAAAAGAAAAGAAAAGAAATTTAGGGTTTATGATGTTCAGCAGAGATTAGTAATATTTGCTGCAATACTTTTTTTTTTTTACAGTGGTCTGTTAAATTTGGTTCTGAAAATGGCATTTACTGTGATGGGCACATTGTAGAAAGCTGACGTTTTCAACATTTAAACACTGTTTTAATCCCACCAACAGCTTTATCCGGCTGTGCCTCCAGTGTGTTACTTCTCTGCGACCAAGAAGCGTTCCTTGATGTCACCGATAAGGTAAGTGATTTACTAATTTAGTTGTTCAGGACTCTTTTCTATCGACTATTTTTGATTATTGGAATGTACTCTTTTTTTATGAGCTGAGTAGTAAATAATACTATTTTATGGGAAGTAAAACTCCATTGAAAAATGGAAAAAAACTCCACCCTCCAGATTGGGGAAGGCTGAATCAGATCATAATGGTAGTTACTTAATCTGCCCATTTCATTTTATCATTCTTGCTCATTTTTGCTAATATATAAAAGTGGGTGACAATAACTTCTTTTGAAGTGCCTCATCTTTGTGAGAAATATTCCTACTATATATTTTAATGGAATTGAAACTGTCAGGGAATATGTATATGTGTCTGTATATCTATATCTATATGCATACACTTATATACATTCGTGAGAAAATCGTATATATTTCATTTCAGCCTGAACTTTAAAAACAAAACTAAGAAACTGGAGAAAAACTTAACAAGTGAAATGATCCATATGTCATTTTCTTGTTTTGGTCTCCTTTTTTTCCTGCTGTTTTTTTTTTTTAATAATTAAAGGCTTTTGTAAAAAAAAAAAAAAAAAGAAGGTTCAGATTGAATTTTAAAACCATTTTGGTGCTTGCTAATTTGTTTGCAATTTTCCATATCATCTGTTATTTTTGCAGATAATGTCCCCCAACCGAATGCAAATTTATACCTTGTACATAAGAATATATGGATTTTTGTCCAAAGTATTCTGGCAGGTGTGTGTATGTTCTCTCTGCTGGCTGAGGAATTCTGGGAATTGAAGTCCATATACATTTTCCCGTGGTCTTAGGCCAGTGGGTGGATTCTCTGAACTGTTAACTACTAGCCGGTGCAGAAAGTCCTTGACTTATGACCACAATTGAGCCCAAAATTTCTCTGACTAAGTAAGAATTCGTTAAGTGAGTTTGGCCCCATTTTACAACCTTTCTTATCCCCTGTTGTTAAGTGAATCACCGACGTTGTTAAGTTAGGAACACGGTTGTTAAGTGAATTTGGTTTCCCCGGGAGACACTGCGACCGTCATACATACGAGTCAGTGGCCAAGCGTCTGAATTTTGATCACGTGACCATGGGGGAATGCTGCAATGGTCGTAACTGTGAAAAATGGTCATAAGTTACTTATGTTCCAGTTCCATTGTAATTTCGAACGGTCCCTAAACAAACTGTTGTAAGTTGAGGACTATCTATATCTTATCCATTTCCATTCTGATGTTTTTCCTTTGCAAATTTTTCTTCTATTTTTATTCAGAATACAATACTGTCTTCTATGGCTATTATATAAATATACATGTACGTATACATATTTACATATATATACATATACACATATACATATGTAGGTCTTTGGTTATTTGGGTTTTCTCCCGCGTAAAATTGGAAGTGTCTTGGCGACGTTTTGACGAAATCCCATTTGTCATCTTCAGGCTGGTGTTTTTGGCTTCGTGCTTCTAGGAGCAATGTGTGATCGTAGCTCCTAGAAGCATGAAACCGAAAACACCAGCCTGAAGATGACGAATGGGACTTCGTCAAAACGTCGCCAAGACACTTCCAATTTTACGCGGGAGAAAATCCAAATAACCAAAGACCTACATACAAACACCCGCAAAAACCTCAGAAAACAAATATATACATATATATATACATATATCACATATATTGGATGTTTTAATTCATGGGATGGAACTGGACAGATGACCATTTCTAAACCAATCAACTTTTACTTTGAAGTTCTTTGTTGGGCTAACGATAAAAGCGACCCTAGGCCATTTTTGCAGGCTCCCCTTTTTCAGAGGGAGACCCCACTTTATCAAAGTACTGCAATAAATTGGTTTTAAATGATCTTCCAATGTGGTTGCTTTTTGGAAGAAGTAAGCTGAGGCTCAACCTAGGGCCAGATTTGGCCATCATGGGAGTGCATGATGGGTTCCGGAACCAGCCCCTGCTCATCCTTAATTTGCTCCTGTTCTTTGTTCCCCGCTTTGGGCCCAAAATTGAGTTTTTTGGTGTCTCCTGTTGGCTCCAGAATGAGCGGACGCCCCTGATGATTGCGGCGCAGGGGAACCAGACGGCCATCTGCTCTCAGCTGCTCCAGAGAGGGGCCAAGGTCGATCTCCTGGATAAGGATGGCAAGTGAGTCTCCCGTTTGCAAACACCCACCCTGCGAGGCAGGCCACAGAATTCAGCAACCTGGAATCGGGGCAGGCAAAAGGTTTATTAGCCTAGAGAACTAGGTGTCCCTCAAATCCAGAGGTGGGAGCAGATGTGGGAAGAATTGCACCAGCTACTCCCTGAGGTCCAAATTCATCTCTGTGGCAAGCGGAGGAGAGTTCCTTTTTTTTTTCCTTTAAAAAAAATACACTTTATTATTACAACACAAGTAGTACATTATATTATTGGGGTGCATTGGTATCAGTCCAGTCCAGTGTAGGCTGGTGACGTACGACCACAATTGAGTTCAAAATTTATTTATTTATTTATTATTTATTTATGAGACTTATATACCGCTTTAAGTGCAAGCACTCTCTAAGCGGTGTACACCAGTAAGCAATGTATATATATATATTTACATTGCCCCCAACCATCTGGGTCCTCATTTGACCTACCCCGGAAGGATGGAAGGCTGAGTCAACCTTGAGCCGGTGAGATTTGAACCGCTGACCTGCTGAACCCAGTCAGCTAAAGTGGCCTGCAGTACTGCACTCGAACTGCTGCGCCACCTCGGCTCTTTCTGCGACTAAGACAGACATTGACTTTTTGCCCCCATTTTACGCCCCCAAATTTATGTTGCTAAGTGAGAAATGTGTGAAGCGAGTTTTCTCCCATTTTGCGACTTTGCTTGCCCATTTGTTAAGTTGAATCACTGTAGTTAAGTTAGTAACGGCCATTAAATGAATCCGGGGCAAAAGTCACTTACAAAATTTCTCACTTAGCAACATAAATTTTGGGCTCAGTTGTGGTTGTAACCTGTATAAGGTCTCCTGCTTGAACAAGGGGTTGGACTAGAAGACCTCCAAGGTCCCTTCCAACTGTGTTATACTGTTAAATATACTGCACCTGAAGGCAGGACAAGAAGCAATGGATGGAAACTAGCCAAAGAGAGAAGCAACCTGGAACTAAGGAGAAACTTCCTGACAGTGAGAACAATTAACCAGTGGAACAACCTGCCTCCAGAAGCGGTGAATGCTCCAACACTGGAAGTTTTTAAGAAGAGACTGGACAGCCATTTGTCCGAAATGGTATAAGGTTTCCTGCCTGAGCAGGGGGTTGGACTAGATGACTTCCAAGGTCCCTTCCAACTTTATTATTATTATAATAATAACTTTTCAGAACTTCTTGGGGAGGTCCCTGCTTTTTGGCACTCACGAGGCAAAAGCATTCACACAAACGCACAATCTCTACCCGTTTTCCTCAGGACGGCGCTCATCCTAGCCTGCGAAACTGGGGGTGTGGAGGCAGCTGACTTGCTTCTGCAGAACGGAGCCAACGTGGCTTTGATGGACCAGACAGGCCACGATGCCGTGCACTACGCCACGCGGAGTAAGAACCGGATTCTCCGGAGACAGGTCCGGACTGCCTTGAAGAAGTGGAAAAAACGAGGTACGGGGGATCCGGGTGGAGAAATCGCTGCTTGTGTCAATTTGGTAGCAAAGCTGTCTTAATTGGTATGTGTGATACCTCTTTTTTTTCCCTTCAGTAATTTTTTTAATTCACTTATAATAGTATAGGATAGGATAGGATAGGATAGGATAGGATAGGATAGGATAGTTATAGTATAGTAATAGTATAGTATAGTTATAGTATAGTTATAGTATAGTTATAGTATAGTTATAGTATAGTATAGTATAGTTATAGTATAGTTATAGTATAGTTATAGTATAGTATGGTATGGTATGGTATGGTATGGTATGGTATAGTATAGTATAGTATAGTATAGTATAGTATAGTATAGTATAGTACAGTGTTTCTCAACCTTGACAATTTTAAGGCATGTGGACTTCAACTCCCAGAATTCCACAGCCAGCATTGAAGGATAGAAATAGTTAGACAGACAGACACATAGACGGATAAATGTTTTAGAGATAGGTAGGTAGGTAGGTAGATAGATAGATAGAGATATGAAACACTGGGTGATTTTTCCACCAGTGGATGGAGCCCATGTGAAGTTTACAAAAGCAGTAAAGGGGTCCCCAGAAACCTGGCAGAGAAGCACCCCCCCCCCCCCCGCCCCAGCCCTGTAAAAGAACCTGACGTCCCGGACAAATATTTTCTGCCCCTTCACCTTTGGTCTTTCTCTTTCCACAGAACTGGGGATATTTGATTCGTCAGAAACTGGTTCCCAGGTAAGAGCAGCCATTAACGGTTTCAATTAAAAGAGCCAGGGTTGTTTGTTTTTTTTTTTTTTAAAAAAAAGCTTTAACGCTAGCAATTTGGGGGTTTGTTTTGTTTTTTGTTTTAACTCCCTTGTACAATGCAGCAGTGACTTCCAAACGCTTCATCGTCCTTATACAGGTAGTCCTCAACTTACGGCCACTGCAGTGTCCCACGGTCCCACGACTGGACTGCATTTTACAAGAGTTTTGTGGGAATCTGGCGTTTTACTTCCAGTTTTCAGGCAAACAAGCTCATTGGATCACTTAACAACCAAGCATTCCCTCAATGACTGCTGGCAAAAAGGTTGTAAAATTGGGCTGGTCACATGGATGACCTGAATTAGGACTGTCACGAATTAAGACTCGGGATGGGCAGAGGCTCCCTTGGGGCCATAAATGGAGGATGTCCTCCTAAAGACTCCATTTCCCTCTTTTTCTGGCTGGAATGTTCATGCCCTCCTGACTTGTATGTGGTCAGATTAACAAAAAATCTTCCCTGATCTCAGGATTAGTTTCAGATCTGTACAGGTAGTCCTCAACTTACGACAGTTCACTTAGTGACGGTTCGATGTTACAACGGCACTGAAAAAAGTGAGTTATGACCATTTTTCACACTTATGACCGTTGTAGCATCCCCCATGGTCACGTGATTTACATTTGGATGCTTGGCAACTGACTCGCATTTATGACGGTCTCAATGTCCTGGGGTCATGTGATCTTCTGATGAGCAAAGTCCATGGGGGTAGCTTAACTTAAGCCTAACTTTTAAGAAGAGACTGGACAGCCCGGAATTGTACAGGGTTTCCTGCCTGAGCAGGGGGTTGGACTAGATGACCTCCAAGGTCCCTTCCAACTTTATTATTATTATTTATGGATCATCGCACAGTCAGCCAGATGTTCAGACTGGATTTGGCATGTTGTCTACCTATCGAGTCCTTCCCAAGGACCTGGGATAGGCAGATGTGGATGTTTGATGGTATTACAGATATCGTCGCAGGATGGAAGCAGTTCCTAGTAAGGTCGCCTTTTGCAATTGACTAATAGCGAATTTGTCAATGCCAATGGTGTTCAAGTGGTGCACCAGTTGTTTTGGGATTGCACCCAAGGAGCCTATTGCTATTGGTATTATTATTATTATTAACAACAACAACCAGGTTACTAACTTAACTGCAATGATTCACTTAACAAATATGGCAATAAAATGGGGCAAAACTCACTTAACAAATGTCCCACTTAGCTACATAAATTTGGGGCTCAATTGTCATAGGTTGAGGACTAGCTGCATGGAGAACCAGTTTTCCACCCCTCTTTGCTACTTTCGATGTTGGGAAGCATATTAAAAATCTTGACATGAGCTGAGAGTTGAGTCCCGAACATTAGGAACTCCTCCTGGCTTTGCACCACCATACAGGTAATCCTCGACTTACGACCACAACTGAGCCCAAAATTTCTCTTGTTATGCAAGACAGCTGTGAAATTAGTTTTGCCCCATTTTCCTGCCACCGTTTTTAAGCGAATCGCTGCAGTTGTGAAGTTACTGTCACGGTTGTTAAGCGAATCCGGCTTCCCCATTGATTTGGCTTGTCAGAAGGTCACAAAATGGGATCACATGACCCTGGGACGCTGCAACCGTCGTAAATATGAGCCGGTTGCCAACAGTCCAAATTTTGGGTCATAATTGTGGTAAACAGCAATAGGTAACTTTGGTCAGCGCTGCTGTAACTTTGAACAGTCACTAAATGAACTGTTGTAAGCCGAGGACTTCCTGTAGTTAAGCAAATCACTGCCGTTCTTAAGTGAATCAGGTGGTTGTTAAGAGAATCCTGCTTCCTCCTTTGATTTTTGCTTGCCAGAAGCTGGCTGGGAAATTCGTGAACGGGGATCACATGATAATGTAAGCGTTGTAAATAGATGCCAGGCGCTGAAATTTTGATCATGTGACCACGAGGATGCTGCAATGGTCATAAGTGTGGGAACCAGTCTTAAGTCCCCCCCCTTTTTTTTAGCTCCGTTGTAACTTTGAACCACGGCTAAATGAACGGTTGCAAGTTGAGGACCACCTGTAGTTGTTAAGCAGTTGTTAAATGAATCGGGTGGTCGTTAAGCGAATCCCGCTGCCTCCATTGACTTTGCTTGGGAAAACTGCACATGAGGAGCAGGCGACCCCCCCCCCAGGATATTGCAAGCCTTATAAATCCACCCCCTGTCGCCTGGGACCCAAATTTTTATCAGGTAGCCACGGGGGATGCTGCAAGGGTCCTAAGTGTGAGGACCGGTCCTAAGTCACTTTCTCCCCCCAGTGACGTAACTTTGAATGGTCGCTAAAGGAACAGTGGCAATTTGCGGGCTCCCTGGGTCAGTGGTGGCGAACCTATGGCACGTGTGCCAGAGGCGGCACTCTGTGGGTATGCACGCTGTTGCCCCAGCAAAGTTCGCCAGAGTAGCGAGCATGTGGCGTTTGGAAGCAACGGGGCAGGAAGTGAGCGAGTGAGCGGCGTTGGAGCCCTGGGGATGCCCTGGAGATGGTGAGGGACTGATCCCCGCCACCCTGGTCCCAGCCCACCCACCCCAGCCACGCCCACCCAGTCTGCCGTGACCACCGCAGCTATGCCCACCCAGCGGCCATGCCCACCCAGTGAGCCACGCCCCCCTCCTCCGCCTGAGAGCACCCCAATGCTGATGTGGCCCTGGCACTTTGCAATACATAAGTGGGTTTTGGGTTGCAGTTTGGGCACTCGGTCTCTAAAAGGTTCGCCATCACTGCCCTGGGCGATGTCTGTCCCTTTTTGCGCAGGTGCCCTCGGAGAGCGGGAGAGAGACCGACGTGAGCAGCCTGGCCTTCCCGAGCGAGGCGGGAGACCAGAGCGACAACGAAGAAGAGGCGGAGGAAGGCCCCGAGTTACGGGAATGGCGGAGCCGATTCCGGGAGGAAAAGATGAAAGTGATCCAGCTGGAGCTGCAGCTGGACCAAAAGACGAAAGAGTGCCAGGCCCTCTCCATGGGGAGCCAGTCCTTGAAGGAGAAGGTCTGGGACCAAGTGCAGGAGATCAGCCAGATCCTGCCGGATTGGGAGGGCCGGAATCGCAACTGGCGGCAGCCGAGTCAGCGCCACAGCCACGACCACATGGAGGAGGACCACTGCCTGGACCTTCTGGCCCAGCAAGTGCGAGAGCTGAAGGAGAGGAAGAAGCAGCAGGAAGCAGAGAAGGAGCTGCCCAAAGCTTCAACCCAAGAGGTGATGGCCAGTCCCACCAGGCTCCAGCCTGGGAGGGTCCAGTGGCCTGGCGAGGAGGAGGCGGAGGAGCTGAAGCGCCTGCAAAGTGAGCTGCAGGCAGCCCTGGAGGAGAAGGCCAGCGCGGCCAGGCGGGTGGAGGAGATGGAGGGGCACATGGAGAACATGAGGGCCGTCATCGGGGTCTTTGAAGCCAAGAAGAAGTCGCAGAGCGCGGCCCTCAAGGAGATGGAGGCCCGGGCGCTGCGGTTGGGCGACGAGAACCAAAAGCTCCGGGGACTCCTGGGAAAACATCTGGCCGGGCCTCCCGAGAGCAGCCTTGCCCGGGCGAAGGTGGCCCAGTGCATGAAGGAGATGGAGGAGACCCAGGCCCGGGCCCGGGAGGAGATGGCGGCCATGCTGGCCGAAAACGAGGACCTGAAGAAGGAAGCCGAGGAGGCTGTCCGCAGCAGGCTGCAATTCCAAGCGGTGCCATCCGGCGCGGTAAAGAAGTGCATCTCGGCCTGGAAGAAGGTGGTCGCCGGCCTGGAGGGGGCTCTGGTCAAGCTGGAGCAGGCCTGTACTGCTCTCCTGGACAAAGCCCGGCCTTTGCAGGAAGCCATTTTGGAGTCTCCTTCCAAAACCTTGGTCAACGGCAATGGCCTTCCTGAAGAAGAGAAGAATGGTTGTGGTCACGAGCCGGGCCACTTGGAGACCCCCGAGGAGCTGCAGAAAAGTGGGGTAGAAAAGCCCCAGCTCCATAACGGTCTTGTGGGGCAGGTGAAACTCAGGCCGAAATCTGAGGTGATGGAAAGCAGGGCCCGTCCGTGCCGGAGAAGCTCTGACCTGGAGAAGGAGGTGTGGGACCTCAAGCAGAACAACGGTGGCCTGGTACAAGAATTGGCCCAGCTGAGCAGGGAAAGGGAGAAGCTTCAGGAAGAGCTTCAGAAGTTACATGGCCCCAAAGAGAGTTCTCCTCGGGCGGAGAAGACCGAGCGCCTGATGGAAGAGCTGAAACGGACCGTGGAGTTCCTGTCCCACGAGCTCTCGTTGGAGAAAGAGGAATCGGGGAAGCTGCGCCTGAAGCTGGAGGAGCAGAGGAAGGAGATGACGTTTGTGAGGAACAACTTCCTCAAGAAGGTGACCCAAGAGGCCGGCGGTAGAGTTGGCGAAAACCTAGACAGCTGCATCTTGAAGGAGCTCCATTGGAAGCTGGACAACGTGGTGAGGAAGCAGAACGAAGCCTTGCAGCTGGTGTCCGAGATGGAAGAGGAGAACCATGCCCTGCAGGTTGACCGAACCCTCCCGCCGGATCCCAGGAGCCCTGGCAAGGACCAACTTGGTCAAGAGATCTTCTTGGAGGCCTCCGAGGTCATCGGAGAAAACTGGAGAATCCGAGAGCAGATGGTGGAACTGGAGAAAGGCTTGCAGGAGATGAAGAAGTTGCTGGTTGCGTCTCAAGGGACCCCAGGTGGCGTCAAGGTGGTCAGCCTGATGCAGCTCCTGGACCGAGTCCTGGCCCAGATGGCTGATCTGCGCCAGGAGGAGGAGCAGGTCCTTAGCAAGTATGAGAAGATCTGCAGCATGCTGTCCACCAGGGCCCAGGTCCTAGGGGAGGAGCTGGCGGCCCTCCGGGAGAAATACGATGAAGCCAGTGGAGCATCTGCCCATCACAGAGAAGCCCTTGACCGTGAACAGCAGAAGACTCAAGAGCTGATGGCCGAAGCTCTGGAGCACGAGGAGGAAGTGGAAGAGCTGAGAGGGAAGTCCCAGAAGTTGGAGGGCACGGTGGACAAGCTGAATAAGAAGGTGGACGATATCGCCAAGATGTGCCAGGAGAGAGACGTCAAGGTAAGAACCGAAGGGTGAGGGGCATCTTTGAACAGAATCACGGAGTTGGAAGGGACCTTGGAGATCTTCTAGTCCAACCCCCTGTGCCATTTCAGACAGGTGGTTGTCCAGTCTCTTCTTAAAAGCCTCCAGTGGTGGAGCACCCACAGCTTCTGGAGGCAAGCAGGTCCACTGGTTGATTGTCCTCACTGATAGGAAGTTTCTCCTTAGTTCTAGGTTGCTTCTCTCCTTGATTACTTTCCATCCGTTGCTTCTCGTCCTGCCTTCAGGAGCTTTGGAGAATAATTTGACCCCTTCTTCTCTGTGACAGCCCCTCAAATATTGGAAGACTGCTATTATGTCACCCCCGGTCCTTCTTTTCATTAAACTAGACCAGGGGTAGGCAACCTTGGCTCTTTTATGACTCGTGGACTTCAACTCCCAGAATTCCTGAGCCAGAATGGGGGAACTATGGCCCCCTCATGACTCGTGGAGTTCAACTCCCAGAATTCCTGAGCCAGCATGGCTCAGCTTGGAAACCTCTCCCTTTCCCCTCAGCATGGCTGGCTCAGGAATTCTGGGAGTTGAAGTCCACGAGTCATCAAAGAGCCAAGGTGGTCTACCCCTATTCTAGTCCAAGCCCCTACTCAAACAGGAGACCCTATACCAGGGGTAGGCAACCTTGGCTCTTTTATGACTCGTGGACTTCAACTCCCAGAATTCCTCAGTCAGCCATGCTGAGGAGAAATGGAGAGGTTTCCATGCTGAGCCATTCTGGCTCAGGAATTCTGGGAGTTGAAGTCCACCCGTCATAAAAGAGCCAAGGTTGCCTACCCCTGAACTAGACATACCCAATTCCAGCAACCGTTCTTCCTACGTTTTAGCCTCCAGCCCCCTAATCATCTTTATTGCTCTTCTTGGCACTCTTTCCAGAGTCTCAACGTCTTTTTTATAGCGTGGTGACCAAAACTAGATGCAGTATTCTAAGTGTGGTCTTACTAGGGCTTTATAAAGGGGTACTAATACTTAGTATTAAATACTCACTTAGAAAATACTTAGTGTTGAATGACATCTTCCCCCAAAATACTGTACAACACACTCAGGGGCATTGCAAACAGCTGTAAATGCAGCCATGTTGCCAAGTACACAAAAGGCGATCACGTGACCATGGGGTGGGGGCGGAGCAAGCAACTAACTCCGATTTATGACGGTTGCGATATCCTGGGGTCACGTGATTGCACGTTGTGATGCTCTGACCAACAAAGTCAGTGGGGAAGCCGGAGTCACTTAACCAGCACGTTACCAACTGAACAACCGCAGCGATTCACTTAACGATGGTGGCAGGAAAGGTCCTTAAATGGGGAAATGCTCACTTAACAACTGTCTCGGTTAACAACAGAAATTTGGGGGCTCCGTTGTGGTCGTAAGCCGAGGACCACCTGTACGGTTCTGTTCTGTTTCCCCTCAGATCAAGAAGCTGCTGAAGGAGACGGAAAAGCTCTCGAGCGAAATCCTTAACTTGCGCAGCGAACGCACCCGCCTGATCCTGCAGAACGAGGTGAGCCACGTAGGACTTGATATGGGGGTGTGACACGTGTGATATAAACCGATTCTAGTGCTGGCGTTTTTCATATTTCAACAAGTTGATCCTGGCGATCCCAACCAAGGCTTTTGCAGCCCAAAAAAAAAAATAAATAAATCAGGAATTGAAAATGTTGAGAAACACCCTGCACTACGGTATTCGATCTGGATTAGAAAACTCGAATCTGGTTTAAATTCAGCCATCTCTCTCCACCTCTGATCGATGAGGTGGAGGATTGATCACAGCGGCACGACCGCCATCTTGACTTTTGTGACCACGTCCTGGTGGACATCCCTGAACCCGCAGCTTCTAGGACAGTGGTTCTCCACCTGTGGGTCGGGACCCCATTTGGGGTCGAACGACCATTTCACGGGGGTCGCCAAACAACGCAGTCCGCCATTCCCCCCCCCCTTTTCCTTAGCTGTGCTCCTCCGTTTTATTCTATTGGCTTTTGAAAGCCAATAGAATAGACTCTCTTGAATAGAGTCTAATTCTATTGGCTTTCCAAAGCCAATAGGAATTGTCCAGGCTGTCTCTGCCCTGCTGAGCCCGCCAAAAGCCCCATTCTGCAAACGGTGCTGCACCAGTTGAGTAGTCCTCGACTTACGACCGGTTGAGTAGTCCTTGACTTACGACGGTTGGGGGTCACGGCATTAAAAAGGTTGAGAACCACTGCTCTAGGAGATTTTGGAGATGCTGGAAATCTCCTAAAGCAGTGCTCCACTTTGGGAAGGGAATCATGAAATGTCCCAATCCCAGTTAGTCAATCAGAGTAGAGATTGGTCTTCTAGTCCAGCCCCCTGCTCAAGCAGGAGACCCTATGACCATTTCAGACTAGTCTCTTCTTAAAAATCCACAACTTCTGGTGGCAAGCTGTTCCACTGGCTAATTGTCCTCACTGTCAGGAAATTTCTCCTTAGTTCCAGGTTGCTTCTCTCTTTGTTCAGTTTCTAACCATTGTTTCTCGTCCTGCCCTCTGGTGCTTTGGTGGATAATGTGACCCCCCCCTTCTTTGTGGCAGCCCCTCAAATACTGGATCACTGCTATCATGTCTCCCCTATTTCTTCTTTTCTTCAGACTAGCCAAACCCAAGTCCTGCAGCCGTTCTTCCTATGTTTTGGTCTCCAGGCCTTGGATCATCTTAGTTGCTCTTCTCTGATTTTTTTCCCAAACTCTCAACATCTTTTTTGTGATAAGGTGACCAAAATTGGCTGCAGGTATTCCAGGTGTGGTCTTACTAGGGCTTTGTAAAGCGGTACTAGTACGTCGCGTGATCTTGATTCTATGCCTCTGTTTATACAACCCAGGATTGTATTAGCTTTTTTGGCTGCTGCTGCACACTGCTGGCTCGTGGTCAAGTCATCGTCCACTAGGACTCCAAGGTCCCTCTCACAGTTGCTGTTTTTGAGCCAGATCTTGCTCAATCTGTACTTGTACCTTTGATTTTTCCTGCCTAAATGTAAAACTTTGCTTTTCTCCACATTGAAACTCATTGGGTTGGACAGGGCCCATTGTTCAACTTTGTCAAGATCTTTTTGGATCCTGAGTTGATCTTCTGGGGTGTTGGCTACTCCTGCCAGTTTGGTGTCATCTGCAAATTTGATGAGTTCCCCTTCAATTCTCTCCATTTATGAAAATATTGACGAGTCCTGGGCCTAAGACGGAACCTTGTGGTACCCCACTGCTTACAACTCTCCGTGTGGATGTAGTGCCATTGAGGACTACTCCTTGAGTACGGTTTGTTAGCCAGCTACAGATCCATCTGGTGGTGATGTTGTGTATTCCACCTTTTTCTAGCTTACCAAGGAGTAGGTTGTGGTCTACTTTGTCAAACGCCTTGCTGAAGTCTAAGTATACTACGTCCACTGCGTTTCGCTGGTCTATTAGTTTAGTCACTTTCTCGAAGAATGAAACAAGATTGGTTTGGCATGATCTGTTTTTAACAAATCCGTACTGGCTACTAGTTATAACTTTGTTTGCTTCTAGTTGTTTGCAGATCTGGTTTTTGATTATCTTTTCTAGGATCTTCCTAGGTATTGATGTTAGACTGGTTGGTCTGTAGTTTCCTGGGTCTGTTTTTTTTTTTTTTTCCTTTCCTGGGTTCTCGACTTACAACCGCAATTGAGCCCAGAATTATCATTAAATTGTTGCTGTCATTAATTCGGCCATTCCAGCTCTCCCATTGCAGTCGTTATGCAGAGCATGTGGTCAGGGAGGCTCTGGGTTGCTGAAAGGACGTTGTACGGTGAGGACTCCCTGTAGGGGGCTGTTGAGCTACTGATCGCTGAGCCCCCAGGGCCATTTCTCAGCCCTCCTCTTGATTTATTTCAGGTTGCCCAAAAGAACCACCAAGAGATCGTGGCCGTATACAGGACCCACCTGCTCAATGCAGCCCAGGTAAGACAGATGGGAACATCCAGCAGCTCTCCCTCTCTCCCTTTCTCTCTCTCTCCCTCCCTCCCTCCCTCTCTCCCTCCCTCTCTCCCTTCCTCCCTCTCTCCCTCTCTCTCTCTCCCTCCCTCCCTCTCTCTCATGTGCTTTCTTCCTCTTTTTCTTTTTTTCTCTCTCCCACCTCTCACCTCTCTCTCTCTCCTTCTTTCTCCCTCTCTCTCCTTCTCTTCCCCTCTCCTTCTCTCCCCCTCTCTCCCTCCCTCCCTCTCCCTCTCCTTCTCTCTCTCTCTCTCTCTCTCTCTCTCTCTCTCTCGTGTCCTTTCTCCCTCTTTTTCTTTTTTCTCTCTCCCACCTCTCACCTTCTCTCTCTCTCCTTCTTTCTCCCTCTCTCTACTTTTCTCTCTCTCCTTCTCTTCCCCTCTCCTTCTCTCCCCCCTCTCTCCCTCCCTCTCTCTCCCTCTCCTTCTCTCTCTCTCTCTCTCTTTCTCTCTCTCTCTCTCTCTCGTGTGCTCTCTCCCTTTTTCTTTTCTCTCTCCCACCTCTCCCTCCTTCTCTCTTTCCCTCTCCTCCTCTCTCTCCTTCTTTCTCCCTCTCTCATTTTTTCTCTCTCCTCTCCCCCTCTCCTTCTCTCCCACTCTCTCTCTCTCTCTCTCTCTCTCGTGCTCTCTCCCTCTTTTTCTTTTTTCTCTCTCCCACCTCTCTCCTTCTCTCTCTCCTTCTCTCCTTCCCTCTCTCTCTCTCTCTCTCTTGTGTGCTCTCTCTTTTTCTTCTTTTCTCTCTCTCTTTCCTTCTCTCTTCTTTATTTCCTTCTCTCTTTCTCCTTCTCTCTCTCTCTTTCCTTCTTTCTCCCTTTCTCTTTCCTTTTCTCTCTCTCTCTCTCTCTCTCTTCTCTCTTCACACTAACCACTGCACCATCACGGCTTCCAATTATGGTCGTATGTCTAGGACTACATATATTAGATTTATTTCTGGCATTTGCTTTGAAGGGAAATTCCTGCCACTTATATTATTGGGGGGGATATTCTTCTCCAATGCAGGGGTACATGGATGAGGAGGTCCACGCCATGCTGTTGAGGATCCTGAGGACAGACTGAAGTCTGGAAAACTCGGTGTGAGAACCTTATTTATAAATCTATTTCTAAAGGCACATCTATGAGCACTATTATTCACAATTTCATCTGATCCCTACATCCCACCCTCTTGTAATAAACAACATTTCGGTCACTGCCAGCAGTTTTTTTAAGGGTCTCCCACACACTTCTGTTTTTTCTCTTTTTTATTTTTAACCAACAAGACAAAACAGAACAAAGCAACACATAACACACATACACACACAATATATACCTCCTTTTTTTTACAGCAATTACGTAACGGTAATCTAATATTTACATTTCCCCCTTATTCTTCTTTAAATATTTGTCCTATAGCCCATTATTTCTTATTTACATTTTTCTTCCTTCATGTGTACACATATTTTCACTTTTGACCTTTCCATATTTATTCTCCTCTATTATTTCTAGTCTCCAACCAGACATACACCTTGTTCCATACTATATAATACTCTGTGTCTTCCTTTTCTTTTATCTCTTTTGTTAATTTGTCCATCCGCCGCCGTTATCTGTTTTTTCTCAAGTGGCAGGCAGTTCCAGGGGCAGCTTTGCAAGGTCAGTCAGAGAACCATTTAGCAATAGCAATAGCACTTCATAGTGCTTTACAGCCCTCTCTAAGCGGTTTACAGAGTCAGCATTTTGCCCCCAATAATCTGGCTCCTCATTTTAGCGACCTCGGGAGCATGGAAGGCTGAGTCAACCTTGAGCTGGTCAGGATCGAACTGCTGGCAGTGGGCAGAATTAGCCTGCAATACTGCATTCGGACCACTGTGTCACCACTGCTCATTTAAGAACTGATTGGGATTCAAAGGACGTCCAGGCTGTGGGAGAAATTTTCACGCCTTATAATAGCCAACAGCATATGAAGCGAATTAACAAAGCCACTTCTGCATTAAGTGCCCGGCTATTCAAAAAAGTGGAGAGACAGAAAGAAGGCCATAGAGGTAGTCCTTGCCTTACAACTGTAACTGAGCCCACAACTTTGGTTGTAAGTTGTGATGCTCATAAAGCGGATCACTACGTGTGATCATTTTTTGAGTTTATTAAATGAACTCCATGGTCGTTAAGCGACTCCAATGTTCACCGTGGGATAGGTTTTACTGGAAACTAGAAATAAACGCCGGTTTCCAGCAAAAATATCACAAATCATGGTTATGTGACTCCAAGGTGCTGCAAACAGCCATAAATGCAGGCCAGTTTTGGTCACCATAATACAAAAAAGATGTTGTGACCTTGGAAAGAGTGCAGAGAAGAGCAACTAAGAAGATTAAAGGCTTGGAGGCTAAAACTAGGAAGAACAGTTGCATGAATTGGGTATGGCCAATCTAGAGAAAAGAAGGACTGGGGGGAGGACTTGATAACAGGATTCCAGTATTTGAAGGGGTGCCACAAAGAAGAAGGGGTCAATTTATTTTCCAAAGCACCAGAAGGCAAGACAAGGAACAATGGATGAAAAGTAATCAAGGAGAGAAGCAATCTAGAACTAAGGAGAAACTTCCTAACAGTGAGGACAATTAACCAGTGGAACTCCTTGCCTCCAGAAGTTGTGGGTGCTCCATCACTGGAGGTTTTCAAGAGGAGATTGGATAGCCATTTGTCTGGAAGGGTCTAGGGTCTCCTGCTTGAGCAGGGGGTTGGACTAGAAGACCTCCAAGGTCCCTTCCATTCTGTTAAGTCAGTGCCAAAAATGGAGTCACATGACCACAAGGGATCCTGGATGTCAGAACTTCAAAACCAGGTCATATGTCCAATTTTGGGGTGTCCGCTGTAACTCTGAACCATCGCTGAGCAATTGGTTGTAAATCAAGGTCTACCTCCACAGCATAAGCAGAGAGCATCCTCAGAGTTTGTAATCGATTAATCCCGAAGAAGCTCAGAGTCTCCACAGCAGGATCGATTAAGCGTCATATTAGGACATTTGAAAAGTGGAATGTCAGAGCGTGCACAGTCTTATTGTGCTGAAATAACCCAGGAGTGAACACAGTAAACAATGATCTATATTAAATGGTGGTTTATATTACACTATCTACAATATCATACACCAGGAACAATATACATACACGTGTTAATACAGCAGGATCCAACACACAGCAGTTACAGCAGGAAACAGAAGAGAGAGAACACAGCAGCAGAGGCTTCCCTTTTATACGAAGGCTCTTAAAGGGACACAGACCCAGCTGGCTCTTAAAGGGACATAGACCCTGCTGAGTCATTCCCATCATTACATCATACATCTCATATTGCATAAGTTGGCTAGCTGTTCAATTAGTACCTTGACGTGGAATTTCCCAGGTTGCTCCAAAGGCGTTTGGGAATTAGAGGGGATTGCAATCCCTTTTTTCATTCCAGATTTACTTTCACAGCCCACCGTTCATGGCGCTAAAACCACGTTTCCATCCTCTTCCCTGCAGGCGACAAAACCAGTTCCCAATTCACCAGGAGCCAGTTCTGATTTGGGGTATCGCCCGTTGCACAAGACCGTTGCAGGAAGGGTGCAACTTTGTGATGCGTGTAAGGCGTGTCCTGCCTTTTGCCAACCGCTGGAATTACGAATGCAAAATGGACCACTGTTTGCATGATGTCTGAATGTCTGCCTCGCTCTTTAGATGGAGAGCCGGGTTGGGGAAGGGGGGGGGGGCAGAAGGAAAAGCTTCTGCCGTAAGATTTTGGGGTATAAGCAGTTGTTGCAAGGGAATCAGGAAAGACTTGCTCTTCAATTGATGGATGCCAGCAGTAACCACAAAGAGCTGGAGTCATCAAATATTTCTCATCCCGTAATTATTAAATGTGCAAATTACCCTGTAATTTACACCAGCAATTGGGCAATGAGATTTAGATGGGCTGTTGCAATTCATGCAACTAAAAGTATGTTTCAGAAGAGCTGGAATGGTCTAGATCAGCGTGTTTCTCAACCGTGGCTCTTGAAAAATCTGTAGACTTCAACTCCCAGAAGGCTGGGGAATTCTGGGAATTGAAGTCCACACACCTTCAAGGGTTGAGAAACCCTGTCCTAGATTTTGCATTGCCATTCTTTAGGGATATTCCTTGCCCCCCCCCAAATATCTTCAGTGCTAAGAAAATATAAATATTGGGGGGTACCCAAAGGTCATCTAGTCTGATTTTTACCAAAGATTGTTAAACCTTTGTTGAGTTATTAGGATATGGGATTTTTTTTTAATAAAAGACCAAACAAACAAGAAAACCTTACGAATAAAATTATGGGCGTCGTCTTCTATGAGTCTTATGTATTCCGTTTTAGGGTTGCAGATGGCCAAAATTCACCGTAAATTGGAGAAAGGGTGTGATCCATATTTTGGATCTTGGATCAGTCTCTAAACTTTTGGAGTTCAACTGGATAATCACTTAAATATGAATCAAAAAACGTTAATGCCCTAGGCTGCACTAACAGAGGGACAGAATCAAGATCAGATGAAGTTTTAATACCACTTTATAAGACCACACTTGGAATAGCAGACCCAATTTTGGTCACCACATATAAAAAAGATGTTGAGATTCCTGAACGAGTACAGAAGAGAGCAACAAAGATGATTAGGGAGCTGGAGGCTGAAACATTTGAAGGAATGGCAGGAATTGAGTATGTCTATATGTGATGGACATTCTTGTTGAAATTAGGTCATTAAGTGAGAACTAACTGTGAGAAGGACCTTGGAGTCCTAGTGGACGATCACTGAAACATGAGCCAGCCGTGTGCGGCAGCAGCCCCAAAAGCCAATGCAATCCTTGGTTGTATAAACAGAGGCATAGAATCAAAATTATGTGAAGTATTAGTACTGCTTTATAAAGCCTTAGTAAGGCCACACCTGGAACACTGCATCCAGTCACCACATTACAAAAAAGATGTTGAGACAGTGGAACAGCTGGCCTTCAGAAATCGTAGGTGCTCCATCACTGGAAGTTTTTAAGAAGAGACTGGACAGTCACTTGTCTGAGATGGTATAAGTTTTCCTGCTTGAGCGGGGGGCTGGACTAGAAGACCTCCAAGGTCCCTTCTAGATTCTATTCCATTCCATTCCATTCCATTATTCTATTCTATTCTATTCTATTCTATTCTATTCTATTCTATTCTATTCCATTCCATTCCATTCCATTATTCTATTCTATTCTATGCTACTCTACTCTACCCTACCCTACCCTACCCTACCCTACCCTATCCCATCCCATCCCATTCCATTCCATTCCATTCCACTATTCTATTCTATTCTATTCTATTCTATTCTATTCTATTCTATTCTATTCTATTCTATTCTATTCTATTCTATTCTATTCTATTCCATTCCATTCCATTCCACTATTCTATTCTATTCTATTCTATTCTATTCTATTCTATTCTATTCTATTCTATTCTACTCTACTCTACTCTATTCTATTCTATTCTATTCTATTCTATTCTATTCTATTCTATTCTATTCTATTCTATTCCATTACATTCCATTCCACTATTCTATTCTATTCTATTCTATTCTATTCTATTCTATTCTATTCTATTCTATTCTATTCTATTCTATTCCATTCCATTCCATTCCATTCCACTATTCTATTCTATTCTATTCTATTCTATTCTATTCTATTCTATTCTATTCTATTCTATTCTATTCTACTTTGGGAAAAGTGCAAAGAAGAGCAACCAAGATGATTTAGGGCCTGGAGAGTAAAACATATGAAGAGCGGTTGCTGGAATTGCGTGGGTCTAGTTTAATGAAAAGAAGGACTAGGAGTGACATGATAGCAGTGGTCCAACATCTAAGGGGCTGCCCCAAAGAAGAAGAGGGAGTCAACCTATTCTCCAAAGCGCCTGAAGACAGGACGAGAAGCAACGGATGGAAACTAATCGAGGAGAGAAGCAACTTGGAACTAAGCTTCCTGACAGTGAGAACAATCGCCAGATCCACCAATTTCCAACCAGTTGCCTCCTTTCTGAAGATTGTTTGGCCTGAACAGAGCAAGAAAGAATTGGGGTGTTGAGCAAGGGTGGAAACCATCCCTTTGCCATCCCTTTGTCCCCTGTGGGTGTGCACAAGTCTCTTTTGTGGCATGACACCTATTCTAGGAACACTGCCTTGGTTACCGGTATGTTTTGGGGTGCAAACAAGGAGAGAGATTACTACTTGTAAGTACAATGTCTTGATTTCAGAAAGCTGTCCTTTAGATGTATTTAATTTAATTATTGACTTCCTTGGTTTTGCCAAATGATCAGACGGCCATTGGGGGTCACGTCGCTGGATCATGTTACAAAGACATCCAGAAGACCTTCAAAGTGGCCCCCATGCCAGACAAAAAGAGGGAAGGGGGGGGTTCTGATCCCCCCTGGATGCCAGGGATCTGGGGGGCAACCTTCCCCATCGCCTCCCCCCCCGTCGTAGGAGATGAAGAGCATGGTCAAAGCACAGCACCCACCCAGGAGGGTCCTCAGGAGCCCCCAGGGGGCCTCCCATGGCAGGGGCTTTTGGGAGCGCAGCTGCGGTTCACGGGGGGGCTTTGGACCCCCACCCAGAAGGACCTCAGTGGGAGAAGGACGAGGTGACCCCGAAGGCTTTGGGCAGCCATGCTGGCAGCTCCGAGCCTGGGTGGGGATGGCTGGGCCTTCCATGGCAGTTGCAGCCCCTCCGGCCCCCTCCCCTCCCTCCATTGTGACCTCAGAGCAGAGATGATGTCACTCATCTAAGCAACTGCCACTTTCCAGGCAGGTTGCTAGGTGATGCCACTTTGGCTCAGGTGCTCAGACAGTTGGGAGAGGTTGGCACACAGGACCCATCAATGGGAGCGAATCTCGCTTTGAGGTCAAGATAACCAGCTAAAAATCAGGAGACGGGATGTTCCAGTCCTGTAATTGGCATAAGAGCCGGTCGGGTGACTGGGCCAAACGCCAGGAGAGGATGACTTCGACTCCAGCAATAGGCACTGTGAGTTCGAATCCTCCAGATACGGTTGACAACCGGTTGAGTGACGTTGACGTTGAGCGACGTTGAGCTGCTAACTGGGACATGGTGACATCTATTCTGGCAACAGGGGAGGTGAGTTCTAGTCTGTCAATAAGCACGAGAGGCAGCTTAGTGACTTGGATCCAATCAACAAGAGAACATGACCATTTCTGGAACCTTCTACAGGACTGCCATCTTCCTGACATCGGGCCAATGACTAGGAGAAGGAGAGTATTTCTGACATTTCATAAGGGCCAGCAACCTCCGTGACTGGGGGCCAATAAGCAGAACAAGGTAACATGGATTAGTATTTCTGGAATCTCCTATAAGACAGCAGTTTCCCGATTTGGGGACAATAATTGGGAGAAGGTAAGTATTTCTGGAACCTTCTATAGAAGAGCAGCTGCATGATTTTGGGACAATAACCGGGAGAAGGTGAGTATTGCTAGGAACTTCTATAGGACATCAGCTTACTAATTTTGGGAGAAGAACCAAGAGAAGGTATTTGTGGATCCTTGTATAGGACAGCCAGTTTTCTGATTTTGGAAAAATAACTGGGAGAAGGTGAGTATTTCTAGGAACTTCTATAGGACAGCAGCTTACTAATTTTGGGAGAATAACAAGGAGAAGATGAGTATTTCTGGAACCTTGTATCTGACATCAGATTCTGAGCCTATAAAAAGGAAAAGTTGACTGTCATTAGAAACCCATTACAGGACAATAGCTCCTTGACTTTGGGACAATAACCAAGAGCAGATGAGTATTTCTAGAAACTTCTACAAGTCAGCAGCTTCCTGATTTTGGAAGAATAACCAGGAGAAGGACAGTCTTTGTGGACCCTTGTATAGGAGAGCCAGCTTCTTGATTCTGGGCGTATAATGAGGAATAGGTAAGTATTTCTGGAACCTTCTATAGGACAGCAGCTTGCTGACTTTTGGAAAATAACCAAGAGAAGGTGAGTATTTCTGGACACTTTTATAGTACAGAAGCTTTTTAATTTTGGAAAAATAACCAGGAGAAGGTATCTGTGGAACTGTCTTTCGAACAGCAGCTTCCTGATTCTGGGAGAATAACCAGGAGAAGGTGAGTATTTGTGAACCCTTCTCTAGGACAGCAACTTTCTGATTTTGGGAGAATAATTAGGAGAAGGTGAATATTTTTGGACCGTTCCACACGATAGCAGCTTCCTGATTTTGGGACAATAACCAGGAGAAGTTGAGTATTTATCGGCCCTTGCATAGGACAACACCTTCCAGATTTTGGGACATTAACCAGGAGAAGGTGAGTATCTTTGGACCCTTCTATAAGACAGCAACTTCCTGATTTTGTGAAAATAACCAGGGGAAGGTGAGTATTTCTGGGCCCTTTTATAGGACAGATGCTGGTTAATTTTGGAACAATAACCAGGAGAAGGAGAACATTTGTGCAACTTTGTATTGGACATCAGCTTCTTGATTTTGGGACATTAACCAGGAGAAGATGAGCATTTTTGTTCCCTTCTATAGGACAGGAGCTTTCTGATTTTGGGACATTATCTAGGATAAAATATTTGTGGGTCCTTGTACAGGAAAGCCAGCTTTCTGATTTTGAGACAATAACCAGGATTTATGGATTACTGCCTTGTGGTGGCGAAGGGGCTTGCGTAACTCAATGAAGCTATAAACTATGCCGTGCAGGGCCACCCAAGACGGACAGGTCATAGCAGAGAGTTCTGACAAAATGTGATCCACTGGAGAAGGAAATGGCAAATCACTCCAGTATCTTTGCCATGAAAACCCCATGACAGTACTAAAAGGCAAAAAGATATGACACTGGAAGATGAGCCCCTCAGGTCGGAAGGTGTCCAATATGCTACTGGGGAAGAGCAGAGGGCTAGTACTAGTAGCGCCAGAAAGAATGAAGCAACTGGGCCAAAGCCGAAAGGACGCTCAGCTGTGGATATATCTGGTGGTGAAAGGAAAGTCCGATGCTGTAAAGATTTTTTCTCCATAGGAACCTGGAATGTAAGATCCATGAATCAAGGCAAGCTAGACTTAGTCAAAAAAGAGATGACAAGACTGAATATCGACATCTTAGGAATCAGCGAACTAAAATGGACAGGAATGGGTGAATTTAACTCAGATGACCATCAGGTATACTACTGTGGGCAAGAATCCCTCAGAAGAAATGGAGTAGCCTTCATAGTCAATAAAAGAATAGGAAAAGCAATACTGGGATACAATCCCCAAAATGACAGAATGATCTCAATTTGAATCCAAGGCAAACCATTCAATATCACAA